TGGACATTATGAACTCTAGAAAATCTGTCCTTATCCATAACCGTACAATGGATAAAACAATTCAGTTGACCAATTTGATATTGCCATGGGATTGCATGTCGAGGCTTCCAATCTTGTTGGTATATTCATTTTATATAACCTTAGTGTCCACCATATCAACATAGAAGACATAGGGTTATATAGAGATGGTGGCGAAAAATTCTACAATAATTAAAACTGACAAAATCAGGAAATTAAAATCTAAACCATAAAGTTAAAATTAACACACATTTAATAAAAGTAGATTTCCTTGATGTAACACTAGACTTAGTCAATGATGCATACTGACCCTACATGAAAACTAACGCAATTCCATTATATATTCATCCAAATTCTAATCACTCTCCATCCATAATCAAACACATAACCTCCTCCATAGAATATAGAATTAGTAATAATGTTTCCAGTGAAGATGTATTTCATAAACATAGCAAATTTTACAACACTGTCTTAAAAAGAGCTATAAGAGCCTTGACATTAAATATAATAAATATAACAGTGATAGTAAGAAAAAAAAAAAGGAAACAAAAAAATCATTTGGTATACAACCCCATTTAACCAAATAGTACTAAGTTAGAGCAGAAGTTTCTCAATTTAATTGAGAAACACTTCTCCAGTAGTAATCTTCTTAGTAAGATTTTTAATAATAATACTTCAATTAAGCTATAGTTGTACAGATAATCTTGAAAATATTATTAAAAACACAATAATAAAAGTTTAAATCAACGCTTAAACCTAAGTAACAATCACCATTTCAAAGCAGCAAGCAATAATGATACTCACTTGTGTAATTATAAAAAATGCTAAAGACTGTCCATTACAAAATAAGTGTCAAACTGATTCCCTTGTTTACCAAAATACTATTTCATCTAGAGAAAATCCAACAGTTAAAAAATTTTATATCAGCAGTACCAAAAATTCCTTTAAAACCAGGTGGTATCAATACATTATCTTTCAACAATAATGCATACTGTAATAGAACATCCCTTTTAAAATATTTTTGGTACTTAAAACTCCTATGGTAAAATGGAAAATATTTATAAAAAAAAAAAAAAAAAAACTAGAACTTGTAAATCCTTACATGATCTATGTTCTGTGTTTACAAGAAAAATTGCATATTATAATGTTTGCTAACAAAAAAAGTTATGCTAAACTAAAGAAATGAATTAATGGTGTTATATGCTGGTATTATCTATCTTTTACCTTAAAATATAATTACCAAAAATTTTCATAAATAATTACATATTACAATTGTATAGCCATTATTTTTTTATGCACCCAATATTTATTTGATTTATTCAACTTTAATATTGCCATGTTTTACCGTCTATTTTGAGAAGGTTTGCCTCAGTGGGACCAGGGTTTGCCTGAGCACTTTCCAAGGATGTAGCATTAGAACAGTGAGAGGTTTGCCACATCCTGCTTGTGGAAGAGGGGTGGCAGAGTGGAGAATAATTTGTCACCCACAAGGGTTTGGAGATATTTTTGAACTATCCCACCCAAATATGACAACAGTACTCCATTTTTGGCCTGATCTGGCTCTTGTAAAAGTAGAGGATAGCTCAACAGTCTTTCAAGGTACAGTGCTTCCCCAAGAGGATCTCTGTTCATTCTGATTGGTGGTTGTTCGGGGTCAGATTGGCAATGATGAAATATAACTGGCTTGGTCTTTGAGGCATTGGATGTTATCAGCCAGTTTTTACCCCATTTGGTAGTTTGTGCAAGATTGAAAGAGAGATCAGTTGCCAATCTCTGGCCATCGTGAGTTTTAGAGGTGTGCCCATATATAGTTGTATCATTGGCATAGATATTTATAAATGATCTGAGTATATTCTCAGGCAAACATTTATGTAGATCAAAAAAAGGGTTGGTCCATGGAGTGACCCCAGGGGAACCCCTGTGTTGACCTCTAGGGCTCCGAAGGACAGGCCATTGATAACTATCTTCAGAGACCTACCTGTTAGGAAGGATTATACATACATATGAGGTATGAGAACTGGAACAATAAATAATTAAAGAATTGAAAGAAAATCATTTGATTAAAGAAGCTAATGATTAAGAGAAATGTGCTGAAAAGATGATGAAAGTCATTTGAAATACATCATGCCATGCTGTGTTTGAAAGTTTCATATAGAGAAAGTAAACTGTTAGACAACATTGACTAGAACACAGAAAAAGGTGTACAACATTCAGGTATGCTATCCTTACAGTGTAAAACCAAACGTTTTCTCACCAAGTGAAATCAACAAGTACATAAAGACATTCATGACAGCATAGCTGAAAAAGTAGACTCAAACACAACTTGGTTAAAAAAAAAAAATTGAGATAACAGGAACCATGTATTAGAGAACAAAAAAGAATACAATTGTTTTTACATAAGGATCTTGCTTTTTACATTCATTACTAAATTTTAATCATTGACTTATCTAATTTCTTTAAAAGATCATTGAATTTTGGTGTTACTCAGATTAATCCTGTTCATCAGGCTTTAAAATTATCTGGTTAATTTTATACACTTTAAGTTAAAATCAACTATTCGTTGATGCTATAAAATTATGTGTGCCTACAATTTGACAGTTTTTTTAATCAGTTATAAGCTTTATTATACAATTTAAAACCATTGCTAACAAGGAATTATGCTATAGCTTTTGTGAATATATTTACAGGAAAATAAACTGATATGTCATTAAAGGTCAAAATCTATCAGAATAAAATATTTTAATTCTTTTTGAATTAAAGTCAAATGAAGAAAAATATTCCCTTTTTTTCCTATAAAATAGTAAAATTGAATTACTATTGAGATGTTCATCTCAAAGATTGTTCAAAAGAATGACAAATTATTGCCAGGATATTTAAAGAAATCAATGAGATGTTTTGTCAGTTCCTTTTCAATTTTCCTACAAAATCTAATGTACTTTTTGAAACTAGCAAAAATGTCTAAAATAAAATTCAAGAAAAGATCAAATTAAATGACATTAATTTATAATGAAAGTTTTTTCAAAGTAGCAAATATTATTGTACACTAATTATGACTATAAATCTAGTTTATTTTTTATCGTTTTTATCATTTTTAGTCTATGATTTTAATTAGTTGCATAGAACAGTACTAGAAAATAAAGATGACCTGAGCATTGCAATCAAAAACAACAAAAGAGAAACTCCTCAAATACTTAATCTAAGAAATCTGAGCAACTAAATTTGACTAATAATTCATTTATCAGTTCATATGACAAATTAATATCATCAAAATTTAATGTCTATGCTTTAGAAAATTTAAGTGAGAGGTTTTTCATTTTACTGATAGTTTACTGACATTCAAGTATAGAAAATTTAAACATTATGTGGAATAGTTATTTTGTCAGTATTTTGTAGAGAACTAAATTCATATAAAAATAAAGTTTTAAAAATTAACATTATAGTATTTTTGTAAACCTGAAATTAAGCATTTAAACATAAAATTATGAAGTCTTGCCAAAATTTTACTTTAAAAATATGGAGGTAGGTAGATAAAATAGATAATTAGGAAGAAATATCAAACTTTTGTATCCATATAGCATGCGTTATGGGACCTCAGGAAAATTAAACTGAATATTAGGAAGTTTAGAAAGGGCATTAATTCAACTGAATAGTCATGCATACACATACCTGTTACATAAAGCAATTTATCAGTTAGTGGCAGCATTGGACATATTTTAGATTTGGTAATGAGTAGGTGATGTAATGCTTTATACGATAATTTTTAGACCAAAATGCTGACCAGTCTCCAGCTTTTTGCTTCTCTTTCTTTACAGATGAAATTTAAATTATATAGAAGGTACATTTTCACACTTGGTGATTTAGTAAGGTATAGGGCTGAAATTTTGGAAGGGTACTTTTCACGATAACACAACTTTTCAATAAAAATGTCCATCCTTTATATATATTTATTAGACATTGAGAGTGATAGCCTGTTTCATGCTTAAACACAATCTTTATGGCCTGAAGATTGTGTTTAAGCATGTCCACTTTTATATTTACATACACTATCCCTGACACTGAGCACTTTAGCCCATAAATATAACATATGTTAAAACTATATTTTTATCATATATCATTCAACATTTTTTAAATTTGAAAGTTTTATAATATGGAATTAATGAATTAGATGATCTGAAAAGTTATCCAGTTCCAAATTTTAGTTAATAGTACTACAGAATTTTGTTCATTTTCAATTAAAATAATAAATTATAATAAGGGATTTTTTTTTTTAAATAGAGAAATTTTCTTTCAAGAAAAACTAAATTTTAAACAGGTTAATACATTTTTATATTCAACTTTTTTTCCTGAGATAAGGTATGTAAATTTTGTATACCTAATTAAAACATGAAGTTTATAACTATGCAATATTGATAGATGGTAACTATAAGAAAATATTTAAATATACCAATTTGTAATGTATATGGCAGAAAAATATGTTGATTATTATTAGAACACATTTTTCTTTGTACAATTGAGCAGTGTTTATTTAGGAAAAAAAAGCTAGAGCACAATGTTTTGTACAAAAAATGTTTAGGGATGGTATGGTGTAAACATTAAAAATTCATTTGACTGATTCCTATAATACTTGGCTATAATCAAGAGCAGTTGTTTAATTTCCTATCGTTATTTAGTATATTTTCAATGAATACCTGATATCCAATTCATAGTTTTTTTTTAATGGGAAATTTAGAAATTGAAAGACAAAACAACGTAATCTTTTAACAATCGAAAAACCTATATACATACATATAGAATATTATCAGTAAACTAGAATTTATTTATTATGAAGTTACCATGAATAGGATATGAATCTAGGAACAGAAAATGTAAAAAGGTAAGGACATGAAGCTAAGCTGTTGGAGTGGGTAAGGAGCAATTTGAAATATCAAGTAAAGTCCAATACAATTCAGTGTATCAACAACATTATACAAAAATGTACTAACCTTTCATTATTTATACCAGTTAGAGTAACAGATTTGTTTGTTGGTACATCAGTTTGATGTACTCCTCCTGCAGAAACACCACTGGTACTTGAGAATGGTCGTCGTGCTCTTGCTTTGTCCTACCAAAAAATTATAAAAATGAAACAATATTTCAGATGTATAATTTTTAATTTGATTGAAATATGAATTTTGCTGTATTCAATGAAAAATAAAATTTTTCATGAATAGTATATTTTATCATCTATTTTTAAAAGTTTGAATTAACTATTTTCATTGCATAATTTTAATGACATACATCAGTGTATGAAAAACATTTATAAATAAAATATTCATGAAATAAATATATTGAAGCAATTAATTTTATTTACATAGATATTAAGTACAATGAACATGAAATACAGCAAATATTAATAAATGTTAATGAACAATAAAGCAAAATAATCTGTAGATGTATGAACAGCTGTTGAAAAGAAGCATTTAGACCATTAAAATTTAAACTATTTTTTTTTTATATCACAGAAGAAATGAGGGCTTAAATTTCTCAAAGGCAGTATATTTAATCTTTAATGATCAAAATATGAGATTGGTGTCAATTATCCAATGTTTTTAAAGACATTTATTATAGCAGAAGAAAATACTGGGTGGAAAGTATTTATTTTTTTTGTTGAAGATTTAAGATAATAAGCATGTCATTGGAGTTTTTGCCACTAAAGAAAGTTTAAACTTAAAAAAAAAAAAAAATGCCTGTTCAGCTGCTATAGCCCACAGGAATCACCTTTTCTGAGTTGGCACGACAGTTCTGATCACAACAGATGCCTATTCATGGCTGCACATAATAAATGTAAATGTGTCCTTTATATATAGCTAAGTGCTGATAAAATGAGGCACCATATAGTCTCTAAAAAATTTGGTTCTGTAATAATGTATTAAATAAGAGTAAGTTTTTTATTCCTCCTCTCTTCACTCAATTTGAGGTGTTAACATCTGCTAATAATACAAAATGTTTTATCTTCAAATTTTCTTCAAACTGCACTCTTGACTCATCTGGAGCATTCTTTAGACTTTCCACTTAGAACTGAGTCTCTATTGAGTGATATGCATATAACTTCTTCCATGGTTTGAGCTATCATCTCTAAGCATGCGGAGCTGATGGTATCCCTGTAATAGTCCTTAGGAAATATGCTCCTGAACTGACTCCTGCTCTCTCCAAACTGTACAATAAATGTCTTGCTACCTCTTGCTTTCCTGCTTGTTGGAAAGCCTTCTCTGTTGTTCTAGTCTTTAAGAACTCTGGTGAACTGTCCGACTCTTCTACTTTTTGGTAAACTACTAGAGGCACTAATCAACTCTGAACTGGTTAAGCATCTCACATTGCAGGGCCTTCTTTCAGACACAAAATATGACTTTCACTTCTCTAGGCCAACTGCTGATGTACTTATTATTGCTGAGAGTCTATCAAGCTTTAGATAAGAATGTTGATTTGAACATCTTGACAGGGTTTGGCATACCAGTCTTCTTCACAAGTTCAAAGGTTATGGTATTTCTGGATGAATTTTTAAAATGATTCAGTCTTATCAAATCATAAAATGAAAGTTGTCCTGAATGGCCACTTTTCTAGATCTTTGTACTAATGAAGATGTCTCCCAGGGCTCTATCCTTTGTTTTTTATCAATGACTTTCCTGATAACATCAGTTCTCAACTTGGTATCTATGCAGATGGCATAACCTTTTACTCTTGCCTCCAGAATCTATGTTATATATTTATATGTTTACCATTCGTCCATGCCTAGAATATTACTGCCACGTATAGTCTGGTGCTCCTGCTCTATATTATGATAAATTCTTGATAAACTCCAATTAAGAAACAGTAATATTATTGGTCTTGACATTTTGGCTTCAGTCACTTTCTCACTGCCATAATGTAGCTTCCCTGTATCTTTTCTATAAACATTTTCATGGTAATTGTTAGGATGAACTTTCCTCCTTGGTACCTACACTTTATGAATTTAAGTGCAGTAATATAGTGGCAGCAATATCTCATTGATTTACAGTTGAATGGGCTAGATATAACCATAAGTTCCATGCTAAGAGTTTCTTTTCTTGCACTTCTCACTTGTAGAACTCTCTTTCCAGCTAACTTTGATCTTCAAAAATTTAAATAAATAAATAAAAAGGTCTTGAATAAAAATTAGAAACTTAAATAACATTGAAGTATCCCCTTTAAAAAGATAATGGTGGAGAGGATTATACTTAAATCTAACCTAAACTATCAATTTTATACAGAACATGACTTTGAAAAAATCTGCAAGATAATAAAAATAGGATAATGATCATTGTCCGATTAAACAAGTTGTAACAAGGAATAAAACAGCTTCAATGTGAATTAAAGAGGTAGTGTCAGCTAGTTTTATATGTTTGAAATAAAAAAACATTTATAACATTTTTTAAAAGTAATTCATGCAAAAACATGTGAAAATATAAAAACAAAAGAAAATTAAAAAAAAAAAAAAAATCAACTGCTTGTCAGTAATGCACTGCAGGAAACAAGAAGTGAGAAAGAACTCACATTAACATCACATGCAAGCCAGGGACTAGATGCTGAACGAGGAATGGTGTCAGGTTCATGTTCAGGAATAATTACAGCTGGAACCATGCTTGAACTGCCTGTCTTAAGCAATGACATCCTGGTCCACAAGCGAGAGTCTGTAACGCTTTTGGTAGCGGTGGATGTAGTAGTGATGAGACAGGTGGTTGTGGTAGCTGGTGCCTGCAAAAGCTGTTGATCAAGTGAGGAAGGCACCTGGAAGGCATGCAATGAATAAGGTGCAGGGTTAATGGTGATGGTAAAAATGGTAGCAAAGTTACCATGTAGGTAAAGGATACAGATCAATACTAAACAGTACAGATAAAACGAGGCAGTTTAACAAGATTTATTTGGGCCAACAATTTAAATTTTGTCTTAATTTGTAAAACTTCAATTCATCACCCAGTAATTTTCATGTGATATTGTCAAAAAAAAATGCTATTATTGTAATTTTATGGTAAATAGCAACCATTAAAACAAGTAAAAACATAGTATTAATATATTGAATTGGCAAAAAAGTTTGTGGCGATTTTTAAATGAATTTCAAAGACAATATTTAGATATTTTTACATAGATTTATTCAAATCAAATAGGCTTTAGAGACCCCTTTTTCCATTTTGAAGTACAGGCTTAGAGTATTGTTCCATCCTCCCAGAACTTGGCATCTTTCTGGGTGATGAACTGGTCTAAATAGTTTTTATAAGCTTTCAGAAAATTAAAGTTCTTCCCATCAAGAGAATTTTGTAGAGATTAAAAGTTGTAATCTGAAGATGCTGCCAAGTAGTACTACTTTCTGTTTAGGTCCATAAAGAGATGTGAGGTCTGGCATTGTTGAAAACCTTCCAATTGGCCAATTCCAGATATTTTTCATTGATTGATGCTTTTAATCAGTTCCTGTTATCCATGACAGTACTTGCATGAGGGTGCATCTGATTTTTCCAAAATAGATTTAATAAACAATGCCCTTCCAATCTTCTGCTCAACACAGCAGATATCCCTTTTTCCAATTAAAACCAACTTTTTTGAGTCTTTAACAAATATCTCATTTATCGTTTAAAGACCTTTTTTGCTTTATCGGGTCATTGTTTCAAAAAATTCATTTTCATCACCTGTGATTGTTATTTTCAAAAATAGCCTGTGTTTGGTGTTTTAGCAGAGAATCACAGATGCAAAAGCATTCCATTCATTTTTCTCCAGTTAATTCATGAAGCAATGAAACATTGTAGTGATTTACATATCAAAGTGTTTTCAAAAAAAATATGTGAACAATCTCTGAAACAACCATACCATGTGATGTAATTATTTTAATTAGCATCTCAGAGAATGGTCATCATCAAACTGTAGACCCATATAAATGCAACACAGACTTCCAAATCAAAATTTCCACTTCCTTAGCATACCACTTCCAAACAATACTCTCAGCTATGGAACCATCTCCATAAATGGAATGGCATATATCTTTTGTAGTTAGTACACTGTTTACCTTTCTGTAAATAAAAGAGCATTAAATGATAAAAATGCATCTCATTTTCCTCCATTTTAATTTTTGACATAAGATTGAAAATTCACAGTCTAGACACAATTGCATAGAAAGATGAATTGTAGTGTCACTTTTCAGAATATTTGTGTGTGTGTAGATATATATATATATATATATATATATATATATATATATATAAATTTCAACATTAGGGCTAAACTGGCACAGAGAAAAACACTATCTATTGAAAAATGCTACAAATTTTTACTTCAATCCAATATTTTAAGTATTAATCATCTAGCAGTCAAAACTTATATATATATATATATATATATATATATATATATATATATATATTAATATATATATATATGCATGTTTCATTAAAAACGACAGACAAGGCACTACAAAAGATTTTATTTAATTTTTCTTGTGTTCGAACAAGAGCTTTCTTTTTCTGGGCAAAGAGTGTGTAAGAACTGTCCAAATGTTTTATATTTCCACAGAGAAATTGGCTATACCTTTTAGCCATTATCAAGGATGATTCGATTTTTCAGCTTAATTGAGTAAGTCATATTCTGTGTATGTCTTAATTATTGTGGTAGGGATGTTTTAATTTCTGAATACGGTTAGCAATTGTGGCTTTGTTCATAGTTAATATTGTTAAGGGACATTTTTTTTTTATTATTAAAGCTTCCATTATTTTTAGTCTTTTTTTTGAAGGTGGATGCAGTTAATATATTTGTGTTTTCTACTAGTATGTTTCAGAATGGAGTCTGGTAAATTTGTGTGCGTGTTTAAATGGGTTCTAATGGAGCTGTGATCAGATAGGTGTAATGTAAGACATCTGGATAAGCATGTGGTTGTGTAACCGATGTAATTATTTATGAGTCTGGTTTGATCAGGAACCATGGTTCCTTAAGGGGCATTTGAACTCATAGATAATGTTCGTTCTTTGTAATTTTGACTTAGCTGGTGTGTTGTTATTTTTGAGGATAAGGTTAGCAGTCTTAAATTTTTTATAATAGATAATTAATTTGATTTTTTTTTATTCGGATCAATAGGAGTAGTATATTTCTTTATAATATGCCTTAGAGAAGATTCGTCTTGTTTGTAATTAATATGCATTTGGTTTTTGTAATAAATGTGTATGTGATTTTTGGCTGTGTGTCCACTAACGTTATTACTTGCTTCAGGGAGAAATAGTCTAATTTGGTGGTCTATAAGGTGGTTAGGGAAGCTGTTGGTGTTTGTTTAACATTATTAAGTTCTTTGAGGAAGAGTAGTTGAGAGGATGAATTCTGGTGTGCTCTATTTAGAAAGTTTTTTATTATTGCTATTTTGTATCTAAGTGGACATTCGCTTTTGAAGTTAAGGTGGCACGAGTTTTTGCTAGTGGGTTTTTTATATAATGATGTAATGAAAGTGTTATTGTTGTATTCAATGGGGACATCTAAGAATGGAAGTTTGTTTTTTTTTGGCTAAGTTCATAGGTAAAGTTAAGGACGGAGTTTTTCTCAAATGTACTCTTAAGTGTCTCTATTTCTTTAATGTTATTAGCTAAAATAAAAACATTGTCTACATAGTAAACATATTTTTCGGTTCGGAACATTAAGTTACTCTTCACAATCAAATGTTCTATACACCAATATAAGTTGAATTCCTTTGGAATTCTTTATATATATATATATAATTTCTGTGTATATTCTTTAATTCTCTTTGAAATATGGCAAACTTTTCTGTATTTTGTTACAGAAACTAAAAAGTGAATGAAAAGTAATTATGCATAAAGCATGGAAACTGATTTAATTTTTTAAAGTGAAAAATATTTTGAACATATTTTAGCAAAATTATGTAATTATAATATTTAAAACTACATATACAAAAAGTTTGGTTAACTAATGTGTTCTAAGACAGAAAATTCACAATATTTAGACAATATAGATTTTATTAGTATTCAATTCCTGATGAAAAATAAACCAAATATTTAGGTAGCTTTCTTAATTTAAATTTCAATGTTTCTAACTGGTCAACCAAAGAATCAGCATGTATTAAGCGGTTCTAGTTGGTATGATGTACTAAAATTCAAACTACTAAATTAATGGTAAGAAGTTATTACTTAAAAGCAAAGATGAAAAAACATTGATACATAAATGCCCATCTTTTTATCATTACTAAAACTGCATGCTCAAATTGAAAGTTTGATCACTGCTTAATTATCAGAATATAAAGACTACTACTGTTTAATTTCAAATGAGTAAGCATATAATTAAAAAAAAGAAATTTATTTAAAATGTACTTTAAAAGCTTTGTTTGAATTTTTTAAATAAGGAATTATTATAGACAAAATTGTTTGGACTAGTATCTTCATCTTGGTTGTTATAACATTTTAGCTATTGTACTCGCCGGCATTCTTTAGATGTATGCAGCACTACAAGAATTTTAAACTGAACCCTTTATTCAATTCATGGGGTAGAGCATTCTCATTTTGCTGTCCATAAGAGTTAATTTTATCTAGTTAATTTGTCCTTGTGAAACTGCCTCTCTTCTATTGAACCAGAGCATAGCTTTTTTTTTTTTCACTACCTGACTCATGATTGAATTAATGACTACTAGATAATTTAATTCACTTAGTCAATACTTTTATTCACAAGTTCATGTTTCCTGCAGCAGAATTCAGTGGTGGAAACTTGGAGCCTTAAACTTAAAGTTGCTTGTCTTCCACTTCAAGTGAATTAGGGTATATAACTTTTCTGTAGTGTCAGTCTGTTTTTAATCTTAAGCCTAGAGATCTTTTTTTTTTTAAATTAAAGGCTCCTACAAGTTTATAAAAACTGATATACTTTACTTAAGTGGAAGAACAAAATTGATATGAAATCTTCTCTTGAATGGATAGTGGAATGAAAACAACCTCTTTTTTTAATCATTTCACCCTAAGCAAGGCTATACAGCCACTAAGATACAAAATGTGAAAGAATATGAGGAAAAAAAAACATTAAGGAAAAAGAACAATAAAAAAAAACAGGAATTAAGAAGACAGAAGATAACAAATGACACTGCATTCAAATTTTTGAAGATCAAACTTGAGTAGAAAGAAAGAAGTCAAAGACTGTCCACAAATGAGAAGTGTGATAGAAGAAACTATTAGCATAGAACCTACAGTTATATCTAGACATTTCAACCATAAAATGATGAGACCTTGCTGCCAATCTAGTGACAGACATCTGAAGAAAGTTAGAAAGTGTTAACATTGTAACAGGTGAAACACTGTAACAATAATAACCAAGATGAAGACACTTCTCTGAACAAGTCAGTGTTTAAGAAACTGAATGTGCAAAAAAAGAAAAGGATACATTTAGAAAATGCAAAAAGTAAAGGTTATAAAAGATGTGTATATTCCTTGTCTTGTCAGCCACTGGACACATTTATTAATTTGACTGTTTGTTCATAATTATGTGTGTCTAAAATATCTGATTACCTGGTAATGTCATTTATAATGCTACATCTATGAATAAATGAAATCAGCACACAAAATGTGACCCAAAAGTTTTGGGAATTCAAATCACATATGGAAATCAAATATAATATATACAGAGTTCGCAAGCAAATGTGCAAAAAGGCGACAACTACTTTATTTTTTTTTAAAAAGAGATCATCAAAATAAGACATTATGGTGATTTTTTAAAATTAAATTCCCCTTTCTTTTGAGTAGCATTTTTATTGGATTTAATATATTGCTATATGGAACCTACTTATGGATATGAACAGTGGCCTTCAATTTATCAATGAATAAACATGGAAGTGGAGAAATGTAGCAATGTTGACAAAAAGAAAGTATAAATTTAGAGAGAGAATGATCTAATGCAAGTAGCTGCATTATGGTCATGAGATTAATTGTATTGGAAATGTGCTGGAGTACAGTGTTTCTGAGAGAATGCCTCATACTGCTGATGAACAAGATAGTGACTGTGACGAAAGCAGATAGCCTAAACATGCATATATTAGGGTTAATTTCGGCCTAGCAACAGAATAAAGGTCACGTGGGAGTCTTATGACATTTTGGGAAGGCAGGTCAAAAGGTTGACTGACCCAATTACCCGTAGCGACAGAAGCTAGACAGGGGACTGATGTAAGCTGGAATTCACGCCAAAACTTAAGACACGTGATAGTCAGAGATTCACTCGAGAATTAGTTGCTATCTTGACTTTGAAGAGGCAAGACCTGAAGCCGAAGTGCTGATAGTTTATGAACGGAAAGATGCATTTGATAGTGATGGAACTTATCCAGTTCAACCCAAGCAACTCCGGACAAGAAATATAACAAGAAGTATTCCTGTTCGAGAACCCCAAATTGAAGATGCAGAGAAATTTATATGCTGAGGATTCAGCCTGCGTTTAAAGAAAAAGGAAAACCAGAGAAGAAAGCATATATCTCTGTTACAAGTTGAATTGTGTAAAGAAAAGAAAACCAAAAGAGAGGAAGAAAGTGTATACCTCTGTTACAAGTTGAATTGTATAAAGAAAAAAAAACGGATATCCAGAGAGGAAGAAAGTATATACATCTGTTACAAGTTGAATTGTGTAAAGAAAGAAAAAGGAAAACCAGAGAAGAAAGTGTATACCTCTGTTATAAGCTGAATTGTGTAAAGAAGAAGGAAAGAAAAAAGAAAACCAAAGAGAGGAGGAAAGTGTACATCGCTGTTGCAGTGAGTTGGGTTTGGAAACCGAACTGTCTACAGAAGAAAAAGGAAGGAAAGAAAAAGGCAAAACAAAGAGAGGAAGAAAGTGTTTACCTCTGTTACAGCCGGATAGTGTGTGAAATTGTGTTTGTGTAGAGAAAAGAAAAGGACAATGATAAAAAAGAGAACTGAATATAAAAGATAAGTAATCATATTTTGGACCCGTAGTAGAAAGATATACATACATCAATGAATATTATGTTCTTGCAAACACCTTTCCACATGTAAAAACAATAATTGTAACTCCTATCCCATTTCTTTTGTGTATGCGTTGGCTTCTGCATTCAATTCATAGTAATTCATACTTATATTTTTGTATGTTCGGGTTCAGTTGAATCCATTTGGAGTTAGGCGAATTTTGATATCCCAACGTAAGTTTTGAGATCTGGTCGTCAGATGTTTTAACTCATACTTATCTGTTCTTTTATTTTGATATTTGTATATTTGTACATATTAAAATTCTTGTATCAAAAATTGCTAAGCCTTATAGTTCATCCTTGTATTATGGGTCAGTATTCATGTTGAAAACGAAGCGGACCTGGGAAAGATTACTGTTCGATTATCCCAATCGACCAGTGGTCTTACAAATATTTCTGTTTAGCAATTGTCCATTGTCACGATCTGGGAGAGATAGCATATATCTCCTTGTCGGCGTATGATCACCTTATAAACCCATTCGTCGACTGAGGCATATGACAGTGACAATGAAATGATATTTGAGATCAATTCCTTTTTATGTATTAAAATGGTATGAAAAGCAAAATACAACTGGTGAAACATTGGGGAAAGGTTAAGCAAATTACACTGTAAAAATGATAGAGTGAATGCATAACCCCCCCCCACAACAACACAACCATCTCAATTTTTCTTATAGCTTTTTTTGTTAATTAGTACTTAGTTTTTATAGACAATGTATGCATCAGATTCTATTATGAAAGTCAATGTTTCTGCAATAAAATTGGTATTAACTAACATATATATCTGTTTGGTGGTGTTAGATTTTATCATGCAGCTTGACGGGTGTTCATCTTATTGTAAATAAATGTATATAATATTATAGTTTTTGATATTTATTTTTTAGTTTTAGATATATAGTGATTGCTAATGGAGTTAATTGATTATGCAGTAATAACAGTGCCAAGAAAAAAAAAACTGTGCTTTTGACAGTTGTTTTGTGAGTCTGAAGGTTATATATATAAAAAGAAATATATATAAAAAATAAATCCATTTTGAATTTGTTTTATGGGCTTGGCAGAATTGATTCATTTTTGTCTCAAATGATGGAGTGTCAAATAATTTGTAAAAGAAAAACACTTTGTAGCACTAGACTAATTTGTTTGGTTGATTAAATTTATAAAACAAAGAAATAATTGTCAAGAAAGCTCAAGGTTAGATAATTGCAAATCAATATTAATAAATAATACAATTTTCAAAAGTTTATATTAATGAAATTTCAGTACTGAATTTCTGTTAAATGCTTGGTATTTGAATAAAAAGGCAGCCAGGAAAATACTTAAAATGAGAATATATTTTCTCTCATAAATTTTGCATCAAAGACAAAGAAAATTTACTCAGATTAGCTAGATGATTTCATTTTCATTTTGAAATATTACAATATTTTTTAAAGCAATCGAACAGCATTTTTATTTCAAACTATATTTGTAGTAAGGAAAATGGAGTTAAAATCAGTTTGAGATCAACAACCATGTGTATATGTGTGAATGAGTGAGAGAAGATTAGTTTTAACAATTCATCCAGAATGCTTTTTGACACTAATTTTTATTTTATATTAAAGCATTAATGAGTAAATTTTATTTTAAAATGATAAAAATGTTCCGATTAAACTAAAGCAAAATAAATTGAAATGAATCTTGAGACATATGCATGAGTGAAGAGTAAAAGCAGATAGTAGAGATATGTCTCAAGTAACATAAATAAGCATGAATATTGGGAGAAATGCATGCAAGCAAGAACTTAGAATAATTTAAAAATATTTTGTATAAATTCCACTTCAGCAAATGTTTGCAGCAGGCAAGTAAATGAAAAGAACACACCAACAACATTTATAAAAAGAAAAGGAAATTAAAAAGAAACTAAAAGTTAAAATAAACTTTAAAAAATAATGAATGACACAGGATATAAGAATTTTTAAAATTTATGAATAAACAAGAAAATAACAAGGATATGAAATTAAGATTGGTCTAAAAACTAAAATGGAAAACACTGCCCAATTTTTCTCTGGTAAGATAGATAACCAATTAACTTGTTCAAAATAGAGTTTGGGTATGATAAAGAGGTGCAAACATCCTAAAAGAGACAAATTTAGTAAATAGAAAGAAAGAAATGTTTTGTAAGGTTTCATAGAAATGACAGTATAGAGGGTATATTAGAAAGCTATTTAAACCGCTTGATGTAGAACCAATGTAATGGTTATGGCCTATCTCCCCGGTGAAAGAGGCACAAAATCAACTGTGCCATACTTGGTCATGTAAATTACCTAGTGCTACCTCGTGACTAATAAAATGCCTGTAGGTGGGCATGAAAAATTTTTACCTAACTGACTGAGGCACACATAAAAGCTGGTAGATTTTGTCTTTGTGGGGAGAAAAGGATGATGGATAGGGTGGAATACATTTGAAACTAATACTGGAATTTGATGGCTCTGATTCTGAACAATCAGTTGTCAAATTGACGGAAAAGGCAGAATTGATGTGTTGGCTTTGCATCGCGAAAAGGATCAAGTCTGTAGTCCTGATGTGTCTAACAGGTGGTGCATACTTAGTGTACCAGCAGTTGAGTGAAAAAAGAAAAAAACAACTTTGGTGGCATAAAGGAAGCCCTATATACACCCTTTTCTGCTGATCCATTTGCAGCATATGAATGATTTGTGGCATGATGTTTACACCCTAGAGAGTATGTCGATGTTTCTCTAGTGGAGCTGCAGAAACTCTCACTTCTGTTTGGCAGTATACCCTGAACAAAGTTTAACATGTGCTTCTGTGGGCAGTCTACCAGCATGTATCAAATAGCTTCTTTGTGCATCCTAATGAATGGACATTACACAGGTGTTGGCGTGTTAATATTAAAGGATGACTCTCTGTGAACAGAAATAGCTGTGGTAGCTGTAAAAACGTGTGACCCAGTGGAAGGAATTGCGAGTGCATCAACAAAATGTCATGTGTATGATGGTCCAAACCATATGGGTTGTGACTGCCTTGCTTGATGCAAGACACCAAAAGATGACTTTCTGAAGCCCTGAAAAAAATCTCACATGCTTCTGGTGTAGGGAGCCAAGTCATTTGTTGCAGAATTGTTCAGGAAAAGGACAAAGAGTCTAGTGCCAGTCTTGTCCCCTGGCAAAATGTGAATTTGGCACTACAAAAGTAAAGGTGTATGCGTGCAGGAAGATAGGTGGTGGATTCTAGGTGTTTTTGGACCAATCAGTAGAAAGATGTGCCGGACATGGAAAAAGAAAGAGGTTGAAGAGATGACTTTTAGTGCAGAAATGCTCATCAGTGGTGCAGGGTAGACAGATCTTCATGTGAATGGAAGAACTGCAGAAATAGAGGCTTTGGTAGCACAAGAGGATCCTCTTAGATTCCACATACTGATCGGTGTGGATACAAACAAGGCCCTGGGCAGGGTTTCCATTTTAAAGTCAAGAGAGTTGCACTTTCTCCGTAAACAAGCTTCTGCATGTGCAATACCAGCACTCTCCATTGAACCTAATTTTGATGCAGAATTTGATCAGTGATGAAATGAGTGGACTGCATCATAGAAATGGGCAGATGGTAAAACACCCTCCAAGCTGCAAAGCCACATTGCAGAGTATGCCATGTCAACAAAAGTTAGGAAATTCTAGGAAAAGCAATTGCATCAATGGGTTGAGAAAGGCTGGCATATTCCCTATGACAAACAAAAATTTGGACGCTTGAAAGGGCTTCTTTTGTTGATGGCTGTTGTGCAACAAAACAAATTAAAGGTGCAGCCCATAATGGATTGGAGTGTGTTTTACTATCTGTCCATTTCTATGGTGCTCACGGATCAAAGGTGCAGCCCATAATGGATTACCGGGAATTTAATCTCCATGTTGATGAGTATAGAGTAGACACCGATGTTTGTGCCAGCAAACTAAGAGAGCGGAGACAGCAAGGTTCAAACATAGCACTATTGGGCCTCATATCTGCCTAACTACAAGTGTGTGTTAATGAACAACTTTGGCCATACCAGACAGTTATTTTTTCGAGGCAGAAGGTATCGACTAAATCACCCCGCCAGATAATGAAACCCATTGTCAAAGCAGTGCTGTCTCAGGTAGAGAACATCAAAGGGGCAACCTCTGGATATAAATGGGGCTGGGATACTTGGTGTGGCTGTCAGGAGGAGGGATGGTGCCCTATGGTGGAGGTATGGCAATGTGCTTCTAGATATCCCTGAAGTGATCACCAGGAGAAACATGTTCTCTTTTTCATGGCAGGCTTGTTGGACATCTTCCAGTATGTGGAAGGTTTTGGGTAGTGATCGGTGCTATCAAGCAAAGAGCAAATGATCAAATGAATGACATCCCACTTAAAAGAATGTTAATGGAGACCAGTAGCCAAGTGAAGCAGACCGATCTATGCAAAGGAAAATGGTACAATGGAATCTAGTGGGTTCATTGTCAAAGATGCGTGTTGGTTGAGGCCAGAGTTAAGCACACAACATATTAACCATATAGAATTGGATGTGGTTATTAGAGGGGTCAACCTTGCTGGACACACTGACCACTGGGTAACTGGGGACAGCAGGTGTATGGCAAAGACTGGAGATGGAAATCACCCATTATAGAGGCACCCATTTCTTGACCCTCATAATTTGACCCTTGCTATTTGGTAACCTTAGTGCAAGAAGATTCTGCTGCTGTAATCTAATGTCTCACAGCAATCTTTTTTGAAAGGGGCCCACCCAAAGAGATCCTGACAGACAACAACTGCACAGCATTCAACAGCAGGAATTTCAGGACATTTGCTGAAGATTGGAGAATCCGCCTGTGATTTTGATGTGCATATGCACCATCTGAAAACAGCTCTACTGAACACTCACAGAAAACTATAAAGCAGATTGCTGACAGGAAACAATGTTCTGTCCAGGAAGTGGTGTACTGGTACAATGTTATACCAAAGAATGGTGTTCACAGTGAGACTGCATCCAGCCAATGCATTGTACTCCTACATAGTTTGTGCGAAAAGTATTGATAACATTATGCCACTGGAGGCTGGACCTAGACAGGGAATATATAAAAGAGGAGATGTTGTGCTGGAAAAACATCATCCAACGAGTAAATATAGCAAAAGGAACAGTGACTGGAATCTTGAGTCCTCAGGCAGTCCATGTAGAAGGAATATTGTGTCACATGAGAGATCTTTGTTATCTCCCTCAAGTAGTGGGCAATCCTGTGAAGGTTGAGGTTGCCACATCAAGTGATGATGTAATGTGTCTACCAATAGTAGATGACGAGGATGACCGTTCACCTGATAGTGAATCTGATCACTTGAGTGGAGGTGATGGTGAAGAGGATCAGTGGGTTGTAACAGAAACTGTTGAAGAAGTGAGTGAGCCTGTTGTACCAACACTTCGGAGAAGCACCAGATACAAGTCAATTTGGCTGCTATCTATGTGTGATCAGAAGGGAAATGTAATTGACATGGCCTATCTCCTCAACCAAAGAGGCACAAAATCGCCTGTGCTGGACTAATAAAATGCCTGTAGGTGTGCATGAAAAAATGTGCATAACTGAGGCACAGATAAAAGGCACATAGATTTTCTTTGTATGGAGAAAAGGATTATGGATGGCAAGGAATACAGGAATATGGTTGAGCGAGCCAGCTGTGGGGTTCAAGGACAAAGCCGTGTCAGTGAGAAATGTGAAATGGATTACTACAAATATATTACTACAATCAAATTCTATAAAGATTTGAATTTAAGATTTGACACTCTTTAAAAGTTTGTAAGTATAAAAATAAATAAAGGATAAGAGATATACTTTGAGAGAAAAGAATTGTTTGAGAAGTATCTTTTTTTTTTACTTATTGGTGCACTGAATTTTGAGTACATTATTATCACTTAAATGCAGAAGATTAAGGTTCACAGTAAATTTTGATACATTTTTCTAATATGATTTATATACTGAGAAAATATAGCATATTGATATTTTGTAAAAAGCAGGCAAATAAATAAAACAATGCTCAAATGGGCAGAAAATTTAAAAAACCCAGAGTAAAGGAATAATGATAAAGAAGAGTTCAAATAAGTCTTTTCATTTGGGATATGTGGAAGGATATCACTAGGCAAAGAAAATTTGAGGCAAGGAGTATAATGAAGTGCTTGAGAGGCAAATGAAAAAAGTATAATATTTTAGTATATTTTCATATTTCTTCTAACAATTCAATCATGTAAAAAAAAGGTTATCATTTAAAAATTACGCATAATGATCTGAAATTAAGTCATATTTTTACAACAGTTATTAACAAAATAGAGAAAAACCATTGCAATAGAAAGCTGTTCATGCACTGTGTGTGTGTGTGTGTGTGTGTGTGAGGGGGTTATAGCAACATGAGAAGCATTCAGTAATTGTTAGCAAAATGAAAGCATTTCGCCTGTTGATAATCTCATGCTATACTGTCTACACAGCAGCCAGTGCAGAATAACCTGAAAACCACCAGTTTAGTAAGTCACAACAATAACAGCAGCAGTAGTAGTAGTAGTGGTAGTAATTATGTAGCAGGACTTGTTCCTTCATTTGGGCAGAAGGTATATACTCACGTCTTCTTGGTCATCAACAGTCTCATTTTCTACTTCTGTTGTGTCAATAGTAGCAGTAGTAGAGATTGTGGAAGAGGTGGTGATAGTAGCAGCAACATCAAAGGTGACAGTCACATTATCATTTATTTCAGAAGAATCATCAGGTATGATCTCTGGGACAAATTCTTCAAATACTTCATCAGATAAGATTTCATTCTGAGAAACTGTGGTGTCAATCGCTAGGGCACCATTATCCTCCATCTTCCCAAGCCAAGCAAAAAGCCAAAGAAGAGGGCAAATCAATCAAATTGCTTCTAGATATCTACAGAATTTAAGGCCAAGAATGAGGGGAGAGAGAAACAAAGGACAAATAAAACAACCAAGAAGAGTGGGAATTAAAAGAAGCAAAATTTGTGATAAGCACAGAAAAGTACAAAATTTGATTCTATTATTTTAAGTAGAGCATTTGATGAAATTTTGAGAGTAAAAAGGGGGTCTGTGAATTTGAATCACTATCTTTGGTCAAAGTCATGCAATAGTAGATATAAATTAGCTAAGAGTAAATACAGATTTTGAATTAATAAAAATATCATGCAATGCATGAACCTTAACAAGTATCATTTTTTCTACAGCTGAATGTTAAATTGAATAAAAACATTGGGCAATATTATCTTCAAATTATTAATCAAATCATTTTCAGTTACACTATAAGGGATTCAACAACACTGTATGACAAATTTTTACACAAGCCTAACTACAATAATGGAAAATAAAATTGCAACTCAATTTACTCAAGAATAAATGTACAGTTAATATCGCTGGATTACAATAGTTAATCACATATACAGATTAATGCACAGGTTCCAAAATAAGGATCAACAGAAATCAGATCCTATATTAACACAATGTATAGCCTTCTTGGGATTAACACAAACTTTTACTTTCACGTATATATAATCACAGAGATGCTGAATACCATCCTGCAATACATTCTTCTAAACATCTTCCACCTATTGACACAATGTAGTAAGTTGGTTAACTGAATGTATTGGGTGTTGTCCCATATTTCAAATGGGAAACAGGTTTAGTGAATGTCTGTATTTAGAGAACTTGTCAAAACCCTTACAGAATATGTTGAATAGCATGAAAATCATGTGGACAAGCATTATCTGCTGGAACAACATATGACCTTCCTATTGTATGAATGACAGTAGAATGGGTGGAACAATGCATACTGTTCATATTCCCTAAACAAAATTCAAAAGCAAGTGGAAATTCTAACTTGTGGCAAGAGTGGAAATCTACCACATGTGTCTTGCTGTAAGAAATGATTCCTAATGGTCCATAGTGACATTTTTGGGGCCATGTTAGTTGCAATTTGTGCTATGGATACTGTGCAGTCTGTTACTGTTGCTGTTATAATCCATCAATCTTGGTGAGCATCTAGTGGCCATCCAGAATCTGGTTTATGAGAGATATGTTGCCAACATATGCCACACTACTGACATGTTACATCCAACATCTACATCAATTATTCAAAATTACTCTCAAAGTCCACATTCCAACCACTCTAATTGAGAAAAAAAATGTGTGCACCTACTTACATTGAGCTCTTTTACATTAAACCTTATTGAAGCATGTGTCACAATACACACAGATGATAAACTAGTATGAGTGTTTACTCAATCATAAGGTCGATAAAGACTCTTAAAATGTTATCAGAACATCTACTATACTCTAGCATGCATATATTGTACACAGGTGGAAATGAGTATTTTTCATAAGTGTTGCAGTTTTTTTCCCATCAGTGTATTAAAAAAAATTCATTTGTGAGCTTAGAAAATTGATAAACTTAGGGGAAATCTAAACAATATCTATAAAATAAAGCAGAATTTAAAATTTATACTATATTATACTTTTAAATGTCCTTTAGCTAATATATCCTTCAGAACAACCAAATTCTTGGAAAGGCTTAGTTGTTTTGGAGGATATTTACATTAAAATATCTAGATGAATCTGATAAAAAGAGCTAAGATAATCATCAACCAGCTTAAAGTTGTAAGGTTTTTAAATGGCAGATGTTTCATTCTTTGTAAGTATTACTGACATGTTTAAAGCAAGAATAATCTCATTCAGTTGTTAAACACATAGAAAATAAAAAATTCTGAATCAAATACTGCTAATTTAAATGAAAAAGTAAATAATTTGATTGTCTTAAATTAGAGAGGTGTTTAGAATTAGTCTCATAAAAATTTTAGTTTCATATCACAAATATACCTTGATCAAAAAATTACTGCTTTTACTTTACTAACCAAACTAAAACTCAATTTGAAATATCCTGAATTTAATAAAAATGTATATATATATATATAAAAAAGAAAGGAAATGTGAGAACTGACTTTTTTAATGCAATTACTTGCTAGCTCCAGATTTTAACACCTATAATAATTATCTAACAAAAATGAACATTCCTTCTCATTAAAAGCTTAATTAACAGATTGTTGTGTGTATGCATGCATGGGGGGGGTTCAACATATCAATATAGTTACTAGAAATATGGAATAAAACATTTGGCAAGAAACATTTCATAGTTTTAAATATTAGCAAATAAAATTTTAATCTGAATTAAAGTTGCTTCAGAAATCTGGTAGAATGCAGTAGTTATAAAATTAAGGAAAATATTTATCAATTGAAAGTTTAAAAAAAAACAACAACTTAGAACCATGTGTAAGAACAACAGCTTAAGTTGGTATGGCTATAAAATTAAGAGAAACACTTTAATGTGTTAAAAATAAAAATTTTGCATAAAGATGTCAAGAACACATGGTTATTGCTTTTAAATGGATCTGCATGAAAAGGACAAAAATATACATATGTTTTCTGGTCTTACGAATTGGTCTACAATAGCTGGATTTTATTATTTTATTTTAAAGCAAGAAATAGGAATCTGATCCATGCTTTTTACTTTAAAAATGTCCAGAGAATGTAATTATCTGAAGAGTGAGATAAAAAAAGCAATAAAGTAAAAGAAAAGAAATTTAGTAGTGAAAATGCTTAATTTAAGAATTTTGGACAACTTAAAACTTCTGCTACTAACAATATTTTCTAGTAAAAATTCTTTTTTTTTTCTTTTTATTTAAAAGATAAATTACTGGGTTGATTTTATTATCTGTCTTCAATTTCTTTCAATAGTTGCACAATTCATTAGATGGATCCTTGTGAAACTTATTCAATAAGTTGTTTGGTTGAAACCTAATAACTTTTTTTAGGGTTATTTAATTCATAGATGAGGGTGAGAAGAGATGAATTCATACCTTTCCTAAGGGTATTTACATGTAATGAATTTGACTGATTTCTAATTCTGAGCCACTATCCATTATACCACTGGCACATCTCATCTTTAACAGCAAGGCATATTTAATAATACAGAAATTAGTCTATGATCAGACTAGCTATGTACCCCTTTTCTTTCATCTCTGTCAACTTAAACTTGAACATTTAAGCCTAGTTTCAATAACTGGTTATAAATCCCATTTATACCAAAAACTTATTAGAAAGCAATATAAATATTTACTTTTTACAATATTTTTAAATAATTTGATAACTAGTTTTATGTAGAAACCTCCTCTTGAGTAAATAGGTAGGCAGGTTTTATGTTTAAAATTATAATGGTATATTTCATGTTTATTGCTCTTGGCTATCAACAGTCTTCTATTCCTGTACAACAAAGCTACTTAAAAAAAATATGCTAAGTTCAAACAGCTTCTCTGGTTCATATTAATAACTGTCTTAAGCAATATTATACCAAATTTTAGGATTGTTCTAATGGGCCTATATGTCATTTATTGAAATAGTTACATTGATATGTATAAAATGCTTTCTTCAATTGTTTAATAAAAAATTAAGATAATTAAAAAGAAATTGATCTTAAGATGCAAACAAATAAAATTAAATTCACATAACACTTAGTTTAGTCAAACTATTTTTATTGGTTCCTTAACCATAAAAGAATTTTTTCAGGTCAGTATATTAACTTTTTCTCAGTGTGTTTTGTTAGGAGTTCATTTTGCTAGATTTTATGTTCATACTTAAACTTGAGAATGTAAGAATTTATGAAGCAAAAAGAATCAACTTACAAAGTTTTCTACAGATTTTGTCAATAGTTAAAATCTATTAAGGTGAGAGAAAAATTAAAGTTGATAAATCAAATAAAAAATTAGTGAGGATTAACAGAATTGGAAAAGAAAAATGTACATAGAAAATGTAGAAGAGAGAGAAAAGGGGGGAAAAAAGCACCAAGCCCATTTTGGTTAAACAGCAAAATTTTTTCTGCATACACATTCTGGAGATTTGTTGAATACCGTGACACCAAGTGTGACAAGAATATCTTTTGTGGTACATGTGAAGGTAATAATATGTTCAGCACCATCCTTTTATGATAAACATTTAATGCGACTAATCTTACCGTGTGGGGGACAGATGGATTTTGGTTTATCTCATTTTGATGCTCTGAAAAATCAAAAAAATAATATAAATCAATAAATTTAAAAATTAAAATACTACAGCTAGTTAATACTGAATAATTTCTAAATAACTGTTTTGCATATTCAAATTGACTATATTTTATAAATAATTTATTAATTTTGAAAAACAATGCTTGGATATTTTCATTCTTCTAATATTTCTAGGAATGAGTATTCAATTAATGTTGTTAAATTTTTTTTCTAATATATGAGCATTGTCAATCAAACAAATACTCTAAATTTGAATATGCAAAAGATGATTCCTCTGTTCCCTAAGTTTTAAGAGGAAGTGTGCTTTCTCAGTACCTATATGGCCATATCTAAAATCCATGAGAAGATAGTGAAAAATTATTGGGATGACTCACTTTCCAAAAGTTGACCAAATATCAATTTAAAAAAAATTTCTTTATAGATGCATGGGAAACATTTCAGCAAAGACTTGTGTTTCTAAATAAGATCCACGATAGATGAAACGAATTCTGGTTTTCATAGTCAAAATTATATTTTATAAATAGATATCCTGCTTATTTTTCAATTTAAAGTGTCTTCATTGAACTTTTCATGGTTTTTCTTATTGGTTGGGTATCTGCAACAAATAGGTGCCTCACAGTTCAGTCCTGTGGTTTGCACCAGCTCTGTTCTGGGAGAGCAGCCATTTGATTTCTTTTTACAGAGACAGCGCACTAGAGGTCATCTCTTTGACCAACGGGGAAGATACAGTTATCAGTGGTGGTAAGCAGCTCAGTCTGCATTTTGTTTCCACTACAACTTTTCAGAAAGAAATTTTGCAATTACTAACAGGAATATTCAGTGTTTTCTAAGGAAAAACAAATTCAAATATTACAACACAGAAGTATATTCTTTAACATCATTCTTACACAACACAATAAATGAAAAAATAGTTACCAAAATAAAATATTCTAAGCCTCCACCCACAAAAAATGGTCTTCTGAGTACACAACATCAATGCTTCTTCCACTAAATGTTAGTAAGAAGAGAATGTAGTGATGACAGCAAGAGTTGTATTAAAAAAATTGAATCACTGAGAGTTGCAGAAGAAAATTAAAATTTACAAGGTAAATAAATCCAAGGAAAATTAGAAATAATTAAGATTTTAGAAAACTTTAAAAATTAAAACAAACACAAGTTAGAATAATTTAGATTAATCAGTTAGTCTTGAGTGCCAGATTTGTTTAGAATTAGAAAATTCAAAGTAGACAAGAGAGAGCCAAATTATCAACTTCACAACAAAAATCTCATAAGACACTGCTTCAGGCTCACAAATATACATTTTTCATATTCTCTGCAAACAAATGATTGTACAACATCATAGCAAACTAAATATTTCACTCCATTTGGCTAGAAATGGCATGCTGTATTCTTTGGTACCTTGGAGGACAATTTACATATGTTATCATTGAGAGCTTGCTGCTATTTGTGCAAAAACAACTAGGTCCTTAGAACTTTCTTTGATGTCAAAAGAATAAAGCATACCCACAAACCTCAGCATATTTAATATACACCAACAAAATTGAAATTGCCATACCTTGACTGATGATACCAATTTTGACATGGATACAGTATATGTATGCTAAGATGTAACAGAGACTGATAAATATTCAGTCTTCAAACATATTATGACAGAGTAACATTCATATCAGTTCACACTCTGTTTCTGAACTTTAGATGCTGCTATTAGGTTCAATGTAGCGAAAGAGTTTAGTACAAGAGGAGGAGCTATTATGTTTATTGGGTAAATTAGAGGAGGCATGGTGCAGTAATGGATAGCGGCTCAGATTGAGGAATTGGAGAGCCGAGTTCTAGTTCCAGTTGAATCCATTACATTCACTTATGTGCTAATACTCTTGGGAAAGGTATGAACCCTTTTCTTCTCCCCTCAGCTATGGGTAAATAGCAGAACAGACCAGGTTCTATAGCCTTGGATGGCAACTGGTCTACTGCAGAAAGAAATGGCAACCTACTGCGGGAAAAAAAATCTGCCTTGTCAATCATGTATCGAAAGGCATGGCACATAACTGAGGTAAATTAGAGCCATTGAAAATAGTCAAATTGTAGGCCTAGCATAGGATGATCATTTCAGAGAATTGTTGTGCATGTTGGACATAAGTTGGTGGTTCTTTGATATTGAAAATAATGTTCAAATGAACATTCCTCCATCTGCAGACCAGGTTCTGGATGGCCACATAGTACAGGTGCTTGCCAAACTTAAGGGTAGCAGTGCCAGACTGCACAGTGTCTACAGCATTAATTGTAGTAATTTTGGCCCCAAGGATGTAACAGCAGGACTAGTGACATATGTGCTTCTAGCCAGACTTCCAACAGCACCACAAAACTGTCATTTATGCTTCTAGTGGTGATGTGATAGTGTCACCTGGGATAGTGAATGGGGTTCTGTGTTTGATGAGTGAAGGTTCTACCTCGAGACAAGTGACAATCATTTGTGTCAAATATTCTGAGGACATATGTTCTTGACATCTGGTTTTGGATGCCATGTTACAAATCTTGCATGCCTTTGATGTTTTGGGAGGGAACATAAACAGTGATAAGCAAAATATTGTTCAGTCCATTTTGCCATCAATCCTGAAACAGGAAGGTGAAATATTCTATCAGCAACATAATGTCTGCCCATGTTATTCAACATGTGCTGCAAGATACGTCTCCTATTGAACATGTATGAATGATGCCCAATTCATTCAGTTGGCACACAACTGTTTCTGTATTGTGTCAACAGGTGCAAGGGGCATGTATTGCAGGATGGTATTCATTATCAGTATAATCATGTGCATGTAAGAGTAGAGGCCTATGTTAATGTTTATTTGTTTGTTTTACAACATATCAACCTCAATGGGTCATTTAATGCCGACAACGTTTTTTTTTTCCTTTCCGATAACACATTTGTTTTGTTAGAAATCCTTTTCTATCAATATTTCTTTCCTCAAAAATATATAGCTGGTAATAGTATTTTTCCAAAAATGTATAGCTGGCATATCTTTTCAAAAATGTATTGCTGGTAATATCTTTTCCTTCAAAAATTTATTTCTGGTAATAATTTTTTATTTATTCCTCTACAGTTCCATTGAAGTATCTTATGTTTATTTGTGATCATTGTTTTCCTGTTTGGTTCATTGGATTACTTTGTGTTTTAAGGCTGGTTTATGTTTTTCCTTTCAAAAATGCATTGCTGGCAACATTTGCTTGTCAAAAATGTATTGATGGTAATAATTTTTTACAAAGAGTTTCTGGTAGTAAACCCAGTTTTACACTTTCACAGTGTTTTGACCCCAGTTACAATTCCATTGAATAAGGTTTTGTTAAAGAACGTAAGGTTGGTAATATTATTTTCCCAAAAACATATAGCTGGTAATATTATTTTTTCAAAAACGCACTGCTGGCAACATTATTTCTTCGAAAACGTATGGAAAAGTGTGGACACGGATGCAGTTTACCGTCAATCCCATGGATGCAGATGCAGTTTACTGCCATACCCATGGATGTGGAGGCAGTTTACCGTCATATCCATGGACGCGGAGGCTATTTATTGTCATACCCATGGACTTGGATGTAGTTTATCGTCATACCCAGGACGTGGGCTAGACTGGGAGTTCACTATTTGCCCATAGCTGGGACCCTAACAGGTGCTACCACCCAGGGTCAGGATGGACCTGGGAACACCAGCAATTAAGAGGTGGTTCCACGCTCCTCAAAACCTCCCAATCAGAGGTCTTGCTGTTGGCTGCAGTTTAACGCCATACCCAGGATTCTATATTAATGTAAAATGAGGATTATACAGTGTATTAATATAGGGTCTGAGTATTGTTGATACATTACTTATTTTGGAACCGGTGCATATATTGATAATTTATTGTAATCCAGCTATAATACTACTTTTAATTTCGAGTAAATTGAAGCACATAATCAGGATTTTATTTTTCATTAGTGCATTTTTGTTATACACCAAAATAACAAAAAAAAAAAAAAAAAAAAAGGAAAAAAAAAAAGGCTTATAAAGCATGGATTGTTAATATTTTTAATGGATCAATTTCATTTAATGGATTGTTAATATTTTTAATGGATCAATTTCATTTAATGGATTGTTAATATTTTTAATGGATCAATTTCATTTAATGGATTGTTAATATTTTAATTACTATTTCTAAATTGATGCCATATTGATAAATATCTTGGGAAGGAGGAAAAAAAATCTTACCAGTCTCCGATTCAGAACTGGATTCATCACTTGTTGAGCTGGAACTACTCTTCTTAGCATCTTCATCCTTCTTTTTGAAAATATTTGCCTTGTCTAAATCATGGCGTTCTTGTTCTAAAGTTCGTAACACAACATTCTGTTTTTGGTCAACACTCATACGTGTCACTGATGTCCTGCAAAACAGATTTTCAAAAATATAGAGTATGCTAACAAAATTAAATAATCCAAAACCATTTCCTGTTTTTAATAATAATTTTGTAAGATCTATTTTGACTCAAAAAGAAAAAGTATAAATAGTAGTTGAAAAGATGAAAATTTTTTTTTTTTTAAAAATACATATTAGTAGTTACTACAATTTTGTACAAAGGCTAGTTATATTTCACTTTGCTAGTATAAGAGAACTTCATACTGACAGATACAAATGAGTAAGTTGTTATAGCAAAACAATCTTTCACTAGTCAAATTACATTCTTGGTGGTTCCAAGAATATTAGGCAGTAATTTTCAAATCCTATATCAACATTTTTTTGTATTAAAACAATGCATTTGATAAAGTATGTCACAGAGAACTATTTGAACTGCCAGGAGAACTTGATTTATTTGGGAAAAATATCAGAATAACCCAGAACTTATACTGGGAGCAAAATGTCTGCATATGGATAGAAAATGAATTCAGTAAATACACAAAAATTAGGAAGGGGCATGAGACAAGGATGTGTCTTCTCACTGGACTTAATTAATCTTTACAGCGAGTCAATTCTGAGAGAATTAGAAGTCCTACCAAGATTCATTATTGGCAGCCACAATCTTAACATTAGATGTGTAGATGACACAGTGTTGATAGCAAATATAGAAAGGAACTCCTACAGAAGGTAGTAAAGGAAAGATTTGAAAGGACTTAACATCAATTGTAACTAGAGAGAATGAAACAACAAAAGATGTGAACTATGAATTGGAGACATCAAATGCAAGCAAGTACAAAAATTTAAATATCTAGGAAATGTTTTAACAGAGGATGGAAAATGTGATGTTGAAATCCAAATGTGCATTAGAATAGTGAAAAGCCAAGTATTAAAAAATAGGAAAATTTTGTTAGAAACAAAGAAAAGAGTATTTACACTATTTACAATGTTTGGACTGTTGTCCTCATATTTATTGTTACATTCACAATGTTTTGGCTGTTGTACGATCTGGCCGCCTTCAGATGATATATGTTAGAATTTCAAACCGAACACTTTATTTAGTCCACTGGGGTAGATTGTTCAAGTTCCATGTGCCATGTTTTTTCTCAGTTTCAGTTATTTCCCTTTAGTAACTAAACTCTCCAAGTTTTTATTTACCTCTGCTGTGGCCAGGTATTGAACTCACAACTCTTTGGGTCAAGTCACTGGATTACTTCAACCAACACTTTTATCCATGTAGATAAAAGTGTTGGTTGAAGTAAATAGTTACCACACCTCATCTCAGAAATATAGACAAAGAAAAGAGTACTGAACTGTTATGTAATATTGGTCCTCCTATATGGCAGTGAATACTGGACAATCTCATCACAGATGAAGAAACATGAAGCAACAGAAATGTTCTACAGAAGGATGCTGAGAATACTATAGACTGAACGTGTGATGAAGTTTTAGGGAAAATGGAAATAAAAAGGGCACTTACACTTAAAATCAGAAAGAGAATTTAAATTTCTATGGCACATAATGAGGAAAGAAGGTTTAGAAAAATTTGACACTCATGGGATTGACTGAAGGCAAAAGAGGAAGGAGGAAAGTAGTATATAACTGACATAATGAGTTTGTATAAATGGTTGACAGTACAAGGATTAGGAAATATAGAAAAACAAACAAACTTTACTAAGAGCTACAAAGGACAGGAAGTTGTAGATAGCCATAATTGCCAATGTCCCAAAGGGATACGGTACATAGAAGATAACTTTTTACAATGTAAAAGTATCCTTAAACATGTATGTTTTCATGAATAAATACTAAATCTTGTAGAACTCTTAGTGATGGAATTCATTTTAAAAATCATGTTTAAGAATAATGTTCAATAATGCCCAATTATTATGCACCAAACAGTATAGAAGCCATGTTATAATCTGCTGCTTATGTTTTATGGAATTTTATAAGAAATCTTTGAATTCAGAGAAAATCATATTAACATCATATTAGGATTTAAGTATTATTTGCATATACATTTTTGTAGTCAAAAATTCCTGTTAAGAAATAAACCTGCATATGTAGTAGTAATCAACTTTGAAAAAAAAAAAAAAAAAAAGATAAAGAGCAGAACAGATTTTGTTCTGTACCAATTTTTGCTTACCTTCTTTTGATTTGTGGAATTCCCTTTGTTTGAAAGATATCTTTATCTTTGTGTGAAGCTATTTTGTCTTTATGCTGGAAAGTGGAAAAAAAAATAATACATTTGGATTAAATCTTTGCAAAAGGAAAAACAGTTTCTAGAAATACAAAAATAGTTGAATTGCTTAGTTAATTTTATTCACCTTCAATAAAGATTGTCATATAAATATTTTTTTCATTTTATCATTTAACGAAATAATATACACACAATACAATGAATACCATATGTAAACAAACATCACACTGTAGACCCATTGTTTTATTATATCTAATAAACTGTCTAACAATTATGGCGCCTTGGGGTGTAGTAATGGTTAGTGAGTTAGTTTGACAATTATTACTGTATAATTAGTTTGATCCTCACTAAGTGTCCCACTATTGTGGCCTTGAGCCATAACTAAACTTAATAAATACAAACATCTTAACAATTAAAAAAATTCAGCTAAGCTTCAAATTGTTAGGTAAATGGGAAAACAAACTTAAGTGATTACAGTTAATCCTAATCAATATGTTATAAAATTTACTGTAACTATTGGTAGTTTAAACAAGATTTAAATTATATATATATATATATATATATAATTATTTTTTATAAAAAATTATAACATAAGTATGTTATAAGATCACTACAAAAATAGCCATTTTGTTTCAACACATTCTGTGTCTTCTCAAGTGATGATGTTGAAAATAAAATAAATGGTTTTAAAAAGTTTCAGATTAATTAACGATCCTACATTAGGGGGAAACATTGTTACAAAAAGCTAGAATAACCAATCAAAAACGAAGTATAGAAAGATTCAAAAAGCTTGACAACGAAATCCTGCTATAATAGCTATTCAGATCTTTAAATACGTGTAATATTAAAAATAATTTATACTAACTAATAATTATAAAATTATATGATAAAATTTAATATTAAAATTAAAAATGGTAATTTTAAAAATCCAAATTTAATCACTATTAAGTTTAAAAACTACAAAATTATTGAGAAAAGAAAAATATATATGTTTATTCAATTCATTTCTTCATTGAAATTATGTTCGACAAGGACGCTACAATATATCCGGTCATTTGATAATACATGTATATATATATTTTTTTTTTTCCCTTTCATTTCCGTTTTATTTTAAAGTTTGTGGATGTGGTCTTAAACTCACGCGTCAAGACAACAAAAACACAATCAGATTATAATACATAAGCACCCAGACATAATTAGATACACACACACACACACACACACATACACACACAAACACACACACACACACACATACATACACACTAAAAAGAAAAAAAAAAAAAAAAAAAGGAGGTGGTGGGGAAAAACATGAACATCTCTACAGCCCTTTATGAAAAAAGGGAGACGTGGAAACTAACACTAATACACACACACAGTGAATACACTCTACATACACATAGACACCGATAGATACACATACATACATCCACAGACAATGACAGACAATGAGAAATCACAACCAATAAATATTTCAGACTTAAATAAATGCTAACCACTTATTGAATTATAACTTAAGGGAGCAAATATACAAAGATAAAAATGGTTAAAAATAATATTATTTAATATATTAAAACGAAAATTCTAAAACCATAAATATCAATAAAAATATATATTTAATCATATAAGTTTATAATAGTTTCATTATATATTAGGCAAAAGGAAAACAGTATAAAGAAACACACAACCATATATATATATATATATATATATATATATATATATATACACGGGAGCAAAAACAAATTAACACACATAAATATACACTCATACATACATATACATATATATTTATATACAAAATGCATACAAATAAATATATAAACATAAACATATACGCACATATACATATCTATGATAACAAGTACACATGCACGCACATATACATATAAACCTAAATACACCCACATATATACACACAAACTTTTATGCACACATACTTACATATATAAAAAACAGTCATGATATACCAAAGTTTCCATACCCCACATACACACAAACAAACTCATACATAATAGGTGCCAACACACACACATATATATATACACATAAACATACATAAATATATATACACACATACATACATATCTACAAATAAACATATATATAAAAATATCTATCTACAATAACAACTAACCATATACACATGCATACATAAAAAATACAACAACACTCAACCAAATACATACATAAACGTACTAACATATAGATACATAAATATACCTTCAAAACCAACACACACCAATATACATATAGTCTAACATACAAATATATAAACACAATCATACAAACAGAAATATACTTAAATATAAATATACATACACAATAAAATAGGACATACAGATATATATATATATACACACACATATATATATATATATACACATACATACACACACACACACACACATATATATATACAAATATATAGTGGCGTAAAGCCAAATTAGGAGGCACTCAGTGAGGAACTAATTCATTACTCAGTCGCACCCAATCCCAGCCAACCATGCTGGCCAACCATTATACTGCCGTGATTTTTGATCATATATATACATATGTATATTTATACATATACACACACACACACAAACATACATATACACACATACATACATATATATATGCATACATATATACATATATACAACCACACACACACACACATATATATATATATATATATATATATATATATATATATATATATATATATATATATATATTTACATATATACATACATACATATACACACACCCATATACACGTACATATATAGGCACACACGTACATATATATAAAAACAATTATTAACCTCTTCTCTTATCATCTACCATACCTTCCCACCTAATATATATACATATATACACACACACTCACATATATATACACATACACACCCACACATATATATATATTTATACAAAAAAAAAAAAAAAAAAAAAAAAAAAAAAAAAACAAACAATAAATACACATACACCAACCTACACATTCCTCAGTGCCAATACTCTAACCAACACATAAATAAATATATACACATTTGCATCAACACTAATAACACTATGCAGGTATACAATACACACTTATATCGTAAGTATGACCATCATGCAATAAAAACACTAATCTATTAAAAATACAGCGACATATCATTATCATTTAAAGTATACGACCCCTACACTAAGTTAAATTTATAACGGTGTTTACAATTTACTGTAAGTTCATATCTTTGATTTAAGAGATCAGCCTTGTTTTTAAATCTCATAATTTCAAATTTTTCATTAAGGCATAGGTAACATGGGGTATATAGGGAGTTACATGTACGAGCTTTCTTAACCAAACTCCATTTAACCGTAGGTGTTTTGTTCTTATCTTTTAGATTCCAAAAATACTTGGATAATGAAGTCATGTACCTATATTCACTGTGATTAAAGGATTGCATATGCCCCCGCCAGCGTTCCTTGAATGTTTTCATGGTAGAACCAATATATATATATATATATATATATATATAATTTAATGATATTTTAAAAAAAGATTAAGGATTGAAATCATTACCATAGCTTGTTTCTTCTTTAGCTCTTCAAGTAATGGCAAGAGGTCCGAATCAGTAACATCAAATGCAGTTTGACCCTGGAAAAAAAAAAAAAGTATATACTTTGAATTGCAATTATTTTAATTGTGTGACAAAATAGCAAAAGAAACTATATTAGAACTATGAAGAATAAAATCCCTCTCATCCAATGAGCCCAGACATTTTATGTAAAACAGTAGAAATGATAATGATAACTGTATTGATTAACTGTTCATAACTGCTGAAATGGGTAAAAGGGACATGGTACATAGAAGATGAACTTTTAATAGTTATGATATCCTAATAAACAATTACTTAAAACAGTTCATTTGCAGCTTTGGATAAACTTGCAAACCTATTACACATTTAATTTCCTATCTCCAAAGAGAGATATTCCAAAATGAAAATTGTGCAAAAATATTATTGCTGTCATAGTACAATAAATAAATCACTTCCAAATAAAATAATATATGAGCTGAATCAGTTGTAGTTTGTAATGTCTTTCTGACAAGGAGAGAAATTCAATAGTATTTCCATCAAAATATTTTATTTGATTGATCTGAATAGGGTTTTAAGTGAGGAAGTTGATTTTTCCATTTTGATATTGATATAGTGATTCAATTGACAAGTTTCAGAGCTTCACAAAAATGATATGCCATGAATGATGTTAGACTCAACTGTATCATTTTGATACCTTTTGATAGCAAATTTTCATTAGTGAAAAATTTTATAAAGGAAAAATCTTTATAACATTTCTCATATTTTGCAACTGTTCTTATGTAAAGTTTTTAAATTCATTTTCTTCATTAGTTTGCTGCAACTGTCATAAAAATAATGTCTGTTCTTGTTCATTTATATTTGCAGTTGCTGTCTTTTTCTTGTTGCATACAGTCTGCTCTTCATTTATAGTAGTTGTTCTCTGGTTTTGTTCCTGTTCTTGCAACATTATCCCATCTGTTCTTTTCTCATTGTCACAATGCATGATCCAAAAAGTCCGAAACAGTATCAATTTCCTGCAGGTTGACTGATATCTTCAATTTACAACATCCATTTCCACTTTTGACATATATATATTTATTTTTTTCATTTTCCTTCAGCTTTTTACTGCTTAAATTCCCTCTTTCACACACACTTCCCCCTCCCCTCTATCACTAATCCACAATTCCTTCCTGCTTAATATTACAGTATTGCTTATAAGTACATTTATACCAATTTCTTTTCTATTTTTATAAATTTTTTCTTCTAGACCAAACATGCCAGGAATTTATTATTTTTAGTGGAATATTATAGAATCAAAATGGATATTATTTGGTTTTATTATTCCCAAATTCTAGAGCATTGAAACTGTGCAACCAAAAATATGAATATGTCAGTTCAAAAATAAGTAATCGTTTGTAAAAGAAGTTATTTAAAATCCATATTTCATGTGGCTGTCTTTATTTTATTTTTATTTTTTACTTCTTCATGATATTGACCTTAGAGAATGTTTTTTTGTTTTGACAGTATGCAATCTTTGAATTTTATTTTGGACTAGCTTAAAAGCTGCACTCCATGCAGACTTTTAAGCTAACTCCTGCAGTGGGATTATTAGGCATCTGGCCCAAAACTAAAAGGATCTCTGGTCCAGCTTAGAAAACAGCAATGATAATTTTGAAGAAATAACTTTGAATTCCACAATTCACGCCATAGAACTTCAAAACCTCACTTAAACTCCGTTTCAAACTATAAGTCCAATTCAGGATGAAATTCTAATTCAGGACGAAAATTGAGTTCTTGAAAACACTAACTCTGCTGAACTTCATGTCACGAAACCTCTCACTTTAACATGGATTCCTTGGCATTTTGAAGAAATAAAACTGACTTCCTCAATTCACAAAGTTTTCCTTTTACTTTGAGCTGACATAATGTAAAAATTGAGATCCATTATTATTTTAGATTATTCACTGTTAGATTAAGGTTTGGCTTTTGTCTTCATCTTACCATCAGCAGCATAAGGTCACTGACACATATTTTACACTTTAATACACATTTATTTTTAAACCTATAAAGCAAATATTTCAAACAGTAGAAAAAAAATCAACAAATTAAAAAGGATTACTTCTTGAGAGTTTTTAATAGGTGGGATTATTAGCTAGTTTATAAGATAATCAGTAAGGTGACGCTGGTGTGGTGAAAGAACACTTATCTCATTCAGTTCTAGTGTCTCTCTATTTTTACATTTGGATAAAGTGAGGACCTTCAACAACACAACTGTATATTGTTTTGTTTTTACTCCTACTACTACAAGAGAGAGAGAGAGAGAAGATTGTTGCATATGTTATATTACATTTGGTACATTATGGGCAAAACTGATATTACTTTACTATTTCATTATAAATATTGTTTCTTAGTTTCCAACAAATTATTATTTGAATCTTGAACAAAGGATATTGGTAGCATCAGTTTCATGCACAGGATTGTGGTCTATCTTTGTGACTTTTTGGAAGGTATTTGACATTTAGCAGAAGAAATAAGGCTATGTTTGTAGGAATTGTTTATGCAATTTACTTATGCAATTTTATTTAATCCACTTGTAGCTAGCTAGGCTTACTGAGGCATCGGCAAAGGCCTATTAGCTGTATGCTTTGGGAACCAAGACATACTGGCATCAGCATTGTTATTGGAGCTGCCAGAAAGAGGTCAAAATTGACATCTGATCACCTCAAGGAGCTTCACTCTTGTTTTAAATGTAAAATGTTGTCATTCTTCTAGAATGGTTGCCAATCAAGACCAAAGATTTCAGCCTTCCCTGCTATTTGATCCAGGTAGAAGAGATGAACTAAAGGCGTTAAGTTCAAAGTGAACATAAACTTAGTCAGAATTTGAAATTTGTTCATGGGTTTTTTGTTTTTTTTTTAATGAAAATAACAGAAGAGCAAATTTTTGAAAAACTTGCTTACCGCATTATTTTTAATGTCCATATCACAGAAATTTTCAGCAAGAATTTTACATGCTTTTTCCTGGCCCCAGTGTGCAGCTGCATGCAATGGTGTCCAGCCATCAAAGTCTTTTATGTTAACATTCACCTTAGCTTGTATTAATAAACTAGAAAAAGAAAATATACAACTGAAATTTACACATACACATGAAAAAAGAATACTGATAATAATGTGTTACCAAACAATAAATTGAAAATAAATATATCAAACAATTTCTTTTATCATAAAACTTTTTCAAGTACGATCATAATATCAATATTACTAATTCCTGATTTAATAGTGAAATTATTTTCTAATTAGATATATACTTGGCAGATTTATTCCATCCCAACACAATTGTTGTTGCTGATTTAGGTTGCAACTACCAATAGTCTTATAGGAATTAGATTTATTTTTAGCCATCTGGTTTATTTCTGGTAAAATGATTACAGGAGACAAAAAACAAACACACTTTTCAAGAATTTAAAATTTATTTTAACAAAAAATTAAGATTGAAGTTAAGATGAGAGATTGTAATAATTTTGTTTGAATTTTTGAGATGAGAAATTATTATTCTGTACCAATTAGTTCAGATGAGTACCTTCATCTTGATTGTTATCACGATGTTTCAGGTGTTATGCTCTTCATCCATCTTCAGATGTCTGTCACAGTTGATAACCTTGCATTGCAGGAATTTCAAACCAAACTTTTTATTCAAGCCTTGTAAGCAGTTTGTTCATATTCCATTGCCCATGCTAGGATATCTCATATCAATTAATTCTATCTTGTTAATTTGTCTTTGTAATGTTGCTTGTCTTTTTCATTAAACCAGACCATAGGTTTTTTTTTTTTTCATTATTCTACTTGATCCAGTGAAGTGGATCAGAGAGACAAATTTTCAGTGTGTGCATAAAACCAACAAACCAGTTTTACACACAAGAAGGTTAGTGAATACCCGAATGTTAGCAAATGTACTTACTGAATAACCTTGATATAGCCTTTAGCAGCAGCTACATGGAGAGCAGTAGCACCTGTCTTGGGATGAGGATTCTCCTGCACTCCAGCTTTCGCGTTCAGCCATTGGTTTGCATCAGACAGCATCATCTCTTCTTCCTCACGCCGAGCTGCTTCAGCATCCACACCTAAAAAAAAATGTCAGACATATTTAGACATTTAGGGCGACAAAAAATCTCTTCATATATATATTTTTAAGGCAACAAAGTTAGCTTGTATAGTAGTAGTGCATCTTTTTTAAAAAATTCAAAGTAAAAAATTAAGTATTATCACATACTAATTTTGTATAAATGCTAATGTAAAGGTTTAAAGGAAATTCATATAAATTTTGCATGATGTTAAAGGAATAGAATCATATAAAATAAATACAGGCAAATTTTATTAATCTTTAAGAATATTAAAAAGTTAAGTAAAAATATGTGGATACCAAGTTAGGAAATGATGTGGTGTAATTATTGTAAGATGATTATCTGTACATTTGCAATAACATTTAAAAGATATGTTTAAAAAAAAAAACATTTAATGGCTCTACTCAAATTTAATTATTCTTTTAATATCTGAATTGTGGAATGTCATGACTATTCTTGAGAAAGGTAGTGGAGTGGTTTCCCTATTACCTTATGCATGGTATTGAGTTCAGTGTTGTCTTTCTCCTAGAATGTTTACTCTCTCAAGGCTAGTAGCCCAGTTCATCCTACTAGATGAAATTTTTTATATTGCTTGAAAATATCTATAAACCTTTCCAGTTAACTTCTTTCTATTGGTAGTTGAGTGTTTGGATTTTATGAAATTTGTTTTGAGATCTTTAAATATCAATAATGCTAAAGTATTGGATATAATCAATGTGATATATAACAACAATTCAGAAAAATAGAGTATTCAGTTATTTACAAATCAAGAAGGCGGCACAGTGAATCACCCACCTGGAGTTTAGGGTCAGAAGGCAAGAAGGGTTCTCTCAGACAATTAAAAGAGAGCAGTTTCATTTTGGAGGTATTAAAATTAACAAACCATTCCTTGCCACAGTTAACAGATTTTTGGGATTAGATGCCAATTTGACCTTATCAAACAGATCAGACTATCACAACAGGAGTAAATAGTTGTGATCAGCATAGATACCAAGTAGAAAAAAAATCTTGGGCCAACTTTTTTTGCCAACATGAAGTGGAAAGATTATATTGAATCCATTTCTAGGTCTGCTGCTAAGAAGGTTGGTTCACTGTGTCGTGCTAGACAATATTTCTTGCCAGAATCTATCTTGCACATTTATAAGTCTACCATTCCTCTATGCATAGAATATTGATGCCACATCTAGTTTGGTGTGTCTGCTATTTATTTAGAGATTCTTGATAAAATTCAAAGAAGAATCAGCAATGTTATTGGTCATTTCCTAGTATCTTGGCTTCAGTCACTTTCCAGCTGTTGTAATGTAGTTTTTGTGTGATTTTTCTATAAATATTTTCATGGTAATTGTTCAAATGAACTTTCCTCTTTGGAACCTAGACTTTGTTTTGTTTTGTTTTACAGCATATCAACCTCAATGGGTCATTTAATGCCGACGTTTTTTTTCTTTCTTTTTCCTTTCCAATAATATTTTTGTTTTGTTAGAAATCCTTTTCTATCAATATTTCTTTCCTCAAAAATATATAGCTAGTAATAGTATTTTTCCAAAAATGTATAGCTGGTTATAGTATTTTTCAAAAACGAATAGCTGGCATATCTTTTCAAAAATGTATTGCTGGTAATATCTTTTCCTTCAAAAATTTATTTCTGGTAATATCTTTTCCTTCAAAAATTTATTTCTGGTAATAATTTTTTATTTATTCCTCTACAGTTCCATTGAAGTATCTTATGTGTATTTGTGATCATTGTTTTCCTGTTTGGTTCATTGGATTACTTTGTGTTTTAAGGCTGGTTTATGTTTTTCCTTTCAAAAATGCATTGCTGGCAACATTTGGTTTTCAAAAATGTATTGTTGATAATAATTTTTATACAAAGAATTTCTGGTATTAAAACCCATTTTTACACTTTCATAGTGATTTCCATTGAATAAGGTTTTGTTAAAAAATGTATATAGCAGTTAATATTTTTCTTTTTTTAAACTTTTAGCTGACAATATTATTTTTAAAAAATGTATAGCTGGTAATATTATTTTTTCATTGCGTCCATGGTTATGACAGTAAACTGCATCTGCGTCCATGGTTATGACGGTAAACTGCATCTGCGTCCATGGGTATGACGGTAAACTGCATCCGCGTCCTAGGTACAGCGATAAACTACATCCACATACTGGGTATGACAATAAACTACGTACAGCAGAAAGGCCGTTTTTGAAAAAATAAGGTTGTCGGCTATACGTTTTTGGGAAAATAGTATTACCAGCTATACGTTTTCAAAGGAATAATGTTGCCAGCAGTTCGTTTTTGAAAAACAATATTGCCAGCTATAAGTTTTTGGAAAAATGTTACCAGAGTTTTGGACATTCATAAATTAAATAGGAAAAACAAAAAACTTTACTATAACATTAGTGTAAATCAATATCTCTGTTAAAAAGTGACATAATTTGAGAAAGATATCTTCTCCTTTCCCTCTCACCTTCATATTTTTAAGATTAAAACTGTGAGTATCTTAAGGTGAACTTTATAATTTCTGGATTTTCTCTGCAAAGGTAATGATGAGAAAAAAAACTATGATAATATGCAACAATTTTTTAAAGGCTACTATGTAAGTTGAATTTTAAAACTATTCAGCTTTGTCCTTTGAAGGATTGCCATATATGTAGTAGCTTCTCTTATCAGAGGAGGACAGTAGCATCACAGTAAACTTGACATTTATTATAAAAAATGTTAACCATTTGACATGGAACCTTTAGTAAATTGTCAGCCAGTCATGCTGGAATAGGTTTGATTTTATGAGAAATTTTAACCTTTTCTCACACAACATATTTCCCTGCCATCCATATACTAAGTTCCCAATGTAAAAAAGAATAAGAACTTAAGTTTCTAATTACTTTTCATCCTCAAATTTTTGAATAACAGGTTCTAGGTCATCATTTTGCAGGGCATTTTAACCTATCAATACCTTAAATATCCTAAAATAATTTTCTATTTTAACAGAAAAACTAACAAGATTAATATCAAATGATGCGGCAAAAAACTCCCACATATACCTCCCAGAAATACCTTTCACTCTCTTACCATTATGTGTGAGGTATTTCTGCTGCACCCTGTATAAGAAATATTAATATTCAAAATATCATTATGTAACCAAAACTTCTTAATATGCATTTATCATACAGTTATCTACACGAAGAGCGAAGGTAGACATCAAAGACTGATTGAAAATACTATTGGCTTATGGTTGCAAAAACTGTACAAACCTCTTTAACATGAAATAGTATGAAACTAAAAAAGAAGATTAGAAAACTTCACCAAGTAAATAGGATTTATAGTTATAATAAATGTTAATGCTATTTTACAAAAAAAGAAAAAAAAAGCATGTAGTAAATGTTTAAAGGCATTTTATACATGCTAAGGTTTTGTTGTTTTCAAAACCAGAATTTATAGAAATTATGTTAATTCAATTTAAATGATTAATTATGAGGGTTTGGAAACTTACTAAATATATGAAGCTAAACAGATTTTAAACTGAATTGCTATTATAGCTAACAAGTAACATGTATATTTTGGATGAGGAATTATTATTTACATTAGTCTGAAATAATGTAACATGTAGTAGAATCCAAATTTATTTGATAGGTTTTATTCAACAAAGAAAAGACATTAGACACAACAGCCATTAGTAACAATTTTTAATAAGAAACATAATCCATCAACTTCATAAGTAGAAAAGTATATATAGTCTTGTCAGCCAAGATGCTAATTATCTTGTACTGAATAACTAATTTTCATTACAATACTGAAGAGTGCATAATACAATTACTACTCTTGCTTACTAAATAAAATTATCTCATGAAATTAAAAGAAACACAAAACCCTAGCTTAGTATCTGCATAAAAATAAGCCACGTACAGCAATATATCATTAAAATCTTATATTCAGACTGTAAGGTGGCTTGTGCACATGATCAGTGTAATGGAGCCTGTAAATCCAGACAATGAGTATCCTAAGTGAGGAAACAATGAATTGTCCACAGGAGAAATAGCTTTGGCTTCATTCTTCACTGTGCTTTGATTGAAATAATCATTATTATGGCTGATGAGATTATTTGAAGCATTCATATTGTCAGAAGTTATAACTGGGTCCTAAATTCAGGAAGTCTATTTTGTAAAATAGCTGTCTCAGAGTGACACTGTTCCCTCCTTGCAATTAAAATGAATATGGGCATAAATTCAATAATTGGGTCATGCTTTGTCTGACACATCAAAAGAAAAAGCATTTTGGATGAGAACATCCACTAGTTGATTGGTTTGGAAATTAAATAATGGTTAATGTGGAGTAGCATTAATAGCAGTCACCAGCAAAGTGCGTGTTGAATGCAATGCACCCTCAATGACAAGCTTCCAATGATTCACAGGCAAGCATTGTGATTTTAGTGCAAGGCTTACTGCCTACCATCTAATTCCATTATGCTGTTCACATTATCCACTGACAATGATTATAAGGAAGTGATCCAACTAGTGGAAGTTCTGTGGCTACACAAAGCTTTCTCATACCTGATGACATGAATGAATTACCTGTTTGAATGCAAGTATGCCAAAGATAGTAAATAATTGGCTGGAGCACTGGATCATGGTTTCAAATGTCATATTTGGACAAGTGAAAGTAAAAGGAAAGTGAGAGAAGTTGTCTATTATAGTAAGTAATAACTGGTTAGTTGAAGGACTTTTGCAAAATTTTAAAATTTACATATTTTCTCAAATATTAAATTTTGAATGTCTTTTCAGTCATCTTGAGCAGTGGAAACTTGTATGAAAAGTATAATCTTCTCATAGTAATTGGCAATCCAATAAGAGTAGTATACATACATACCTATAGCACAATGTAGCAAATTCATATCCTGAAGAGGAGGAAGTTCTTTTTGTGGCCGAAGTCTTTCAGGATGTGGTTTAATTTTGCTCTCAGAAATAGTATAACCCAGAAGTTACAAAAAATGTACATTTATAATTATAGGTCAAGATAAGCCTCTCAACAACCTCGGTAAATCTCCTGTAGCTAATGTCATGTCCTTTATTTTTCCTTACAAACAACATGTTATCTAGGTAAGCAAATGTATCTAACAGAGTTACTGATGAATTTGTCTATAATGCACTTAAAGTTGACAAAAGTGGAATTGATATATCTAACCACATATCTAAAAAAACAGCGTAAGGCTTTTTATCAAGTTTTGGGGTAGGTAAATTTCAAGTTAAGTGTGCTAAAGAATAGATACTGTATTGGTGTTCAACAGTGTTAATCTTTAGTTTGGGGTAAATATCTAATAGTATGAAACAGTTTACAGTCTGAGAGTAATCAACTACCATTCTTTTCTTTTGCTGATTGTTAATGGTCATTCCAACATAAGCTTTCTAATGGGTAGTATCTGGCTCAATCATCTCTTCTGCAAATAGTCTCCTTAGTCCAGTTACAATAAAGTGTTTATCTAGAGAACTAGATTTCTTTGATTTAGTAGCTATTGGTCTACAATCATTAATATGATTAATAAAAGTTGAGGGGAAATAAATAAGTAGCCAATTTGTACAGATTTAATGGAGATTTATCTCCACTGGTATTTACACAAATGCTCTAATGTAGCTTTATAAAGTCATGTCTGAATAGAACATCAGCATATAAATCAAACAGTTTCCCATTCTGGCATTAATATTCACTAAACAAAAGCCAAAAGTCTCAATGAAGATGTCAAATACAATATTATATGTGTATATACATAGCATTTTGAATAAGGGACTGGCATAGAAAGCTCTCAAGACTACCTGTGTCTATAAGTGCTCTGACACTTTAATTGGATCCAGCAATAGGTACCTATTGTCACAGATGTTTCATGCCTTAGTGAATTAAACACCTTTCCAAAAATGCACATTTTTGCCACATATATGACAATGTAGTTAGCAAAGGTGTCTGTTCCCATGTTTATTTTTAAGAGAGACCAGCTAATATTTAGTTTTCAAATGTTCTTTCACTACAAGTACATGTATCCCCATCATCACTGAGCATCATATATATATATATATATATATATATATATATATATATATATATATATATATATATATATATACACAAGGAGAGAATGTAGTTAATGAGAACATTCAGTTAATTTTGGGAGTATTGTTCAACAGCTTAAAAAAAGAAAAGAAAAAATGTTGAATATAGTATATCAATCCGTCTATTACTTAACACCAGCAAATTAGAGCTGGTTTCAAATCTCTTAGTTTACAAAGAATTTACCCATAGTCCAGATGTCAATTATATTTATTTGTTGAATAAATTGTAGTAGAATCTGTGTTTATTTCTTAGGTTTAATTTACAAAGGAGATGACAATACACATGACAATCATCAGTAAAACAGACTTCACATGAAAAAAGCAGCCAAATATCTATACAGTCTTGTCAGTCATGATTACAATATAGAATGGTGCATAACAAATAAAATTAATGCATAAGTTTTAAAATATCCATATTTCTGGGAATTTTACAGGTAAAATATACAAACTAAAAAAATTACCAAGCATTATAAAGTAGTATGGATAGTGTAAATTATCAGTGTGAAAAAAGGAATTGGTGAGCAAGGTTGCAACCTAGTTGGTTGAACTCACTTTCACACTAATACCCTTGGGAAAGGGATAACTACATATTTTCTTCTTCCTCAGCTATAGGTTAAATAGTTTTGCAGGTTGAACTTTCTAGCATTGGGTGGCTTCCTGTCTAGGTAAAGAACAACTCTGAATTCAAAATCATGGAGAAAGCAATGAGAAACCATAGCAATTCACAGATAAAGAAAAAGGACATGATCTCTTGTCAATTTTAATTGAACCAACAGTTAACATTGCAGTTAATTAGCAATGAAAATAGAAAGCTCTGCTTAAACCAACATTAATGTACAAATTTCTTTTCCAGTTTATTGTAGGATTTAATTTTTCTTTTCAGGAAAGGAGTGCCAGTATATTCACTTCAGTTTTATCTCTGAAATTGTTCCAAGTTCTATTATGATTCTATTAATTACAAACTTAATGGTGATTTAAAACTCACAACAAAAGTCAATATTTCTACAATAAAAATTTATTGAAAAGTTTTCCAATTATGAGTTTTTACAGATAAATTTATATATCAAATAATCTATTTAACCAGTTGCAAAAATATAAGTTATATTAGTATTTACTTGGTATTCTATAAATGGACAGTTCTGAGGTCTTTGGAAATGTAAAATTTTTATTATATAATAAAGTGAATGGGAAACTATTCATGGAGAATATAGCAGTTGTGTATATTTTGTAAGAAAACCAAAGACACACAAACAATTATCCCGCATACATTAAATGGTTAAATAACTGACCTTGTGCATTCATTTCTTCCTGAAGCAACCTTTCCATTTTTTTTTCTTCACATATATCAATAGGTAAATCTCCATCATTGTTCACAGCAGCTATATTTGCACCAGTGTCAATCAAATACCTGGAAGAAAAAAAAAAAAAAAAAAAAAAAAACAAGAATTTACATAACAGCTCAATTCTGCTGATTTTAATCAGCTACATGGATAGGAGTTAAATTTGCATGCATAAACCAATATGAAATTAAGCAGACAAATGAACTAAATATAATAAAATGTTCACTTTCATTTTAATGATATATAAAAATCCTAACAAAGATATAACAGAACAAATGGCAACTATTTGTTTAAATAATTATTTAATTATATAGACAAAAAAATATAACATTTATATCTTTATTTAAAATTTAGTATACACTTTTTTTTTTTTTAAATTTTATATATGGCCCCTTTCTGTCAATGGCAATGGTTGACAGGGGAAAATAAGTTACCTTAAAACATAGCACTGCTCATGGCTAAAGCAACCAATGTGCAATCAACAGTTTTTGACAATGGCCACAGTAGTAGAATACTGGAAATTCATCCACTGTGGGGCATTTGCATCTTTGTCTTGCCTCTATGGTGCACTGGACTCTATTCTCTTTATAGCTCTTTGCTCCCATGAAAACAGCAACTATCAACCCCACTCAATCCAGTTTTCAACATTGATAGAAAATTCCATTATGGACTTTACGTATGCCCTCGGACAGTTCCCCATACAGTATCTGTTTGGGAATTCTGGAGTTATCCATGCACACAATATGCCCAAGCCACCAAAGACCGCAGGATGGGACACAATGATTGAATGCCAGCTCTTTTGAGCACTTCTGTATCCGGGAACCTATCTTGCCATTTAATTTTTTTTTTAAATATTTCTTAAACATCTCATGTGAAAATTATTTAATCTTTTCTTCTGACCAGTATAACAAGGTCCACATAAAGAAGTGTTGAGAGGATGCATCTTTGGTAAATTAGAATCTTGGTTTTTATTCTAAGTTTATCACTTTCCCATGCTCTCTTGATAAGTTTCTTGAATGCAGTTGTGGCTTTTTCTATTCTTCTTGTCAATTCCTCATCCATAGAGTTGATGCAATGGTGGATCCAAGTAAACAAACTTATCTATTGGTTTCAGAGATTCACCACCAAGTTTTATCTTTGGTGGTGAGTTGGTTCCTTGTCCTATTATCTTAGATTTCTTGATGCTAATTGTCAACCTGAAGAGATTGTGTGCTTCCTCAGTATCAGCAGTGAAAAGTAATTCTTTAATCAACAATTCAGTCATTAGTCGTTTTGACTTCAGTCTTTTCAGATTGAAAAGAGATCCATTGAACTTGGTTTTAAGGTAAACGCCATTCCTGCTTCCATGTTGCAGGAGGGCAGCAAAATAAATGGCAGAGAGTGGGTGCCAGGACACAACCCTGTTTAACACTACTCCTCAGCTTGAATGATGTATTTCCATCAAATTGAATGAGTTGTAACATATGTGAGATTTATTCCATTTGGTTTGAGAATTGTGATTAAATTGATGAAATACTTGTCACAAATTAATAAAGGAAAATGTGTCAGAATCCAAGACAGTCTTATTTCTCTTAGCCTAATAATCTAAATGTGTTAATTTAGTGTAAACTTTTATAGCTGGGATTTATTATGATACACAAGTGAGGACATCCAGGTGCTGAAAAATGTTGACTCATCTTAATATTTAATATCAGTTGTATGATAACATACAAGCAACAGCCAAAATTAAATATATATAGTACCAAAATAGAATGTTTGAAAAAGTAATGGATTTTTTTCAAAACACACATATATCAAAACATTTTAGCAACAGCTAATGAGTTGAGTATTACACATACACAAATTTTCTTTGATGATCCAAATTAACAAAAAGATATTTTTTATTATAGTTGGTATCCCAAACTAAAATTTTATTTTCAGTATATCTAAAATTGAGTTATGACCATTCAAATTTTGTCAGTTCCCGTTTTGTATGCTATTGGGCCAGAAGTCAATTTCAACAGTGTGTAACTAAAGATGCAGGCCTCAGAATAGTTAAAAAAAAAAATCATTATAAATGTAATGTCATATAGGTAATTTAAAAGTAAAAGAAATATAATACTAATGGAATAAATAACTATTAGATCAGACTAAACATTGGGAAAAATTGCTTTCTTAAAAAAAATATAGTTGACAGGACACAGAAGGGCAATTTTGATTGTTCATATAAGTTTCATTTCAACAGTTAATAGCTTACAATTTCTTGCTTGATTCATAGCAAACAGAGATGAAGTTATTTTTTCAGTAGTACATAAATAAAAAAAAAAACTCATTTACATTATGTAAAACAGCCAGAAACACAATTTGATAGTAGGGCATAAACAGGTCAAAAAACTTGTCATAAAAAAAAGTTTACTAATTTGGAGTGGTAATTCAACAAAATAGCTTGTTTTCCTGTAATACATTTTTGCATAGATATATCTAATTTTGGAAAATTTTTTATTAAATTATGCAATTTTTAACTTATCAAAAAGGACAGTAATGATTACAAAAACTTAGAAATTTGTTTCATGAAATGAATCACGAGTCAATCTCTCAAACAACTGCTTACTGAAAAGCTTTAAACTTATTTATCTTCAAACTAACAAAACTGAAATGAATAAAAAATACCTTGGAACTGATGAAAAAGACTTTCTGGATAGTTGGAATGATCCTTTCCTCTTCGAATGGTGATTTTCAGTTTGAATTTGTTTATAAGCCTCTGCTATAACCAAGATTCCTAAAAAGTCCCATATCCTATCATTTCTTGAAAGTGGTATATCAAATTACCATCTAAAGACAAATATTGATGTCACTTGTGCAATAACATTCAGCAAAGCCCATCAAAAATAGTAATTTTTGTCTTTGGTTGGAACTAAAATTTTGCTTACAACACTGGACAGAAAGGTAATATCAATGATTTGGTTAATGTAAAAGTTGGAATAATAGTATACTGCAATCCACTGGTTTTGAGGCTAGTAACTGAAAGTCATTTGAAGTGGTTCTTCTTCATAACAAATGCTAGAGTTGTTTGAATACTCAAATTTACCAAGAGTCTTTACTTTTCTTCCTTCCTTTGTTTCTTTAGAGGTGGAGATGAAGTTCCTCTAAAAGTTATAACACTGCAATGTCTATACCCTTCATCACAGTTTTTAACTATCAGCATACAATGCAAGGAATTTAAGGTCGTCTTCATTCTGCTTTTCCTACTTAAAAGAAAACTTCCCAGGGCATAGAGTTTATCATTCACTGAACAGAAGTATGGAGTTTATATTTCTTAATCCATGTTAGTCTCTAAAAGATTCCCACATTCATACAAACTTTAAATTTTAAATTCTGAAACTTAAGTTACAAAGTCCCAACCCTCCAGACCTTAGAATATAATTTTCATACACTTTTTAGAAGCACCATGTAATTTTTTTTTTTTTTAACAAAATAATAGTTTAGTTAATATTTTTTAATTTCAGTACCCCAAAGCTTTCTCAAAATGTTCAAAAAGTGCTGTGTAACAGGTTGTCATGGTAATTATGATGACCAAAATAAGGTTTGTGTATTTTGTCTTCCCCAAGACCAGAATGAACAAGAACAATGGTTAAAGACTATACCTTGAGATAACACCCCTGACAAACCAAGCACTATTGCTTGTGAAAGGTATTTTCCATTTGATTATGAAACGGTGGTTATTAGAGGAAAAATATGACCCAGAAATCCACCATCAGTATTTGATCATTTGCCATTACCTAGTCCTCAACCAATACCAAGAACAACAAATAAAACTTCTGCTTCTGTGTGAAATGTGAAAAATGATGAGCTGGCAGAGTTTCTAAAAAAAGACAAAATCCTCACTTTTGAAAATTTGTATCAGAATATTGATCAACAGGAATTTGCATCAGCAGTTATATGCTATAAATCAAATAAGCTGTTCTTCATCCAATCTATTGATTTTTTTTTTTTTACTGGAGGTACTCCAATGTTTTTAATTAAAATTTTTGAAAAATTGAGATTCAAATATTACCATGCTGGTATATGAACAACAATTTGTTTTAGCACTGATCACAAATCAATGAAGCAATTTGTTATCTTAGTAACTTAAAAATTGCTAAGAAATTTTTTTTTTTAAAGAACATGTTAATATTATATCACCACAAAAGATTGGGACAAAACATTATGGTTCTAATATTCTTATCAGGGTATTTGAATATTTTGTTACATCTCAGTCATTATATAACAGACTTCAAGATGATTTTAAGTTGCCTAGTGCAAGAACATTATCAGCTTTGGCATCAAAAGTCTCAAAATTAGATGATTTTAATTTTCATGGTGATATTTTTAGTAAATTTCTGAAAATCAAAAAAAGTGTATTCATTTAGTTGATGACGTTTATACCAAAGTTATTCTACAATATCATGGAGGAAATCTATTTGGTTTGGCTGAACATTCTGAGGGATTACCAAAAACAGTATTGGGCAGCATAGTAAAATGTTTAAATGGTGGACCAAAAATTTTAATTAAAATGAACCCGGTTGCAAAATTAGATGCAACTTTTTCATATGAAAATTTTTTTTATATATTGTTGATGCAATCAAGCAACTAAATGGTCAAGTAATTGCAATTGTATGTGACAACAACAAGACTCATCAATCTTTTTTCATACAATTTGACACTGTTTTTAATAAGCCTTGGATAACTAAAAATGTCAAAACCTGTTGAGCAACAAAATGTTTCCAATTGTTTAATGGCAGTTACAGTTTGATCACCAAAAAGGTGATCAAACTGTAACTGCCATTAAAACCACAGCTGTTTGAGGTTTCCTATAGCCACACTGAACTTAAATAAAGACAATTCAGGTTTGTTATGGTAAAAATTTTCTATCCCAAGTAAAAATCATCACAAAAATGGCAAAAGTCATTTTGTCAAAGCTTATTTTCTCTCAAAAAATGGATTTTCATATTTTTATAGGGGTAAAATATTGAAAAATGACTGTTTTATCATCATCTAAACAAATATCAAGGAAACTTTTGATCTGAACCCCATGAAACTAGGTATTTTC